TAAAAAACATCCTCAAGTCTTTGTACTATGAAAATGACAATGACCTTGGAATTTATAAGAGGTTATGACATGGCACACCTACAAGAGAAGCCTAGCCCAAACTTGGTCCATTTTAAACTTCACTGCCAAGATACCTTTCAAATAACACTTTTAATTCTCTTTGTAATATTATGATATAAAAATAAAATCAGGAGGTATTTCAAGTACAAACAAAATATAAAAATATTAAATTACATCCAAAATTGAAATATCTCTAAAAAAAAAAAAAAATAGAGATTAATAAAGTCAATTGAGATTGATATCAGAAGTTAGGAAAAAAAAAATGGGCTAAAATGACACACAATGTTAAATAATAAAGAAAGAATAAAACAAGTTAAGAGTAGATATATATTTAATGTTTCATTAAAAAAATGAATATTTGGGAAGGAGTTAGTCGGGGGTGATTATAACTAATGTGAATAAATACTTTCACATATTATAATTATTCATTTAAGTTCTCCCCCCGACCAATTCCTTCTCATATTATATCACGGTCAACCATCTCTACACCATTATAAATTAATATTTAAATACAAATTTCATCAATCAATTATAGGTCTTACATAAATTATTAAAGTAAATTATAAGTCTACTCTCATTATTTTTACCAATTTATCAATAAATTTCTTATTGCTTTGCGAAAATAGAAAATTACATCTTAAGACAGCAAGCAAGTAACATAACTCATCGAACAATATCAGAGAAAAATTTAAAAGAAAATCCGATAGAAAAATAAAATAATAGTAACACAAATTTGTATTAACTAAAATACAGAGAAAAACATGAACCAAGCATGCAATAATGAGCAAATTTGAAACAAATGGTGTTAATTATCTCGCATTTTATAGTCATCTCTAGTGTAGCTACACGGAAAGCAAATTTTATACTTTTACTATAGCCGTAAGTGACAGAATTTAAATTAATAATTATAATCTGTAAAAATGTTTACTCAAATCACTTATAATCATTAGATAATATGCCAAATAAAATAGAATTTTGACATCTTTGAGGGGAAAAACCTATAATTTTAACAGAGAAGTATTCGATTCTGATTCGACGAATTAACAAAGAAAACTATAGTATTAACAATAATGAAATGAAAGCATTTGATAACATCCTAAAAGTCACACAAATTAAAATGTTGTCTGTTCATTTACTACTAGAAATAAAACTTCTTAAAAGAACGAACATATAATTCACAAATATTACAGAGATACATTATTCAAATTGGCAATGAACAACTTACTGACTAAATAGGGTAAGCCAGAGCTTAAAAAATAAAAATAATTTACTTCCGAACATCAAAACTGAATACTGCAAATATGAGTAGCAAATAAAACAATCATATTTAAATATAAGTGACAAAGATTATGGTTGAACTAAATTATAGCAGTTTGCCAATAATAATAGCAATTTAAATAAGAAGTAAATCTTCAGTTCGAAAATTGAAAGAAATAATGTTTTATAAGATATAAAAAGATATATATTACAATGAATGAGATAAAGATTATAGAATAATATAAGTAAAAAAATCTACAATATCACAGATATAAGACATATTTGAGTATTGTAAAAATTCATTTATCAATTGTATTTCATTATTACTTATTATAATAATTATGAAACTAAAAAACATTTATTATTAAAAAATATGGACTTTATGAGAAAAATTATATATTTAAATGGGTTAAACAATTTCTTTATTTAATATTAATACATTTTCATAAAAGTTATTTTATAAAATGGACAGGTTATCTACCGGCTGGAGGGAAAACAAATCAAACTAAAATCTTCCCTACTCCTAAACATAGTTATCACAACTGATAAGAAAAACCACAATCCAAACAACTGCATCTATTTCACTTTCATAGTTTTTGGCTTTCTAAATTTGTAATTAATTAGAAACTAGAAAACTAAAAACAATGAATAGTATGAAAAATCTAAACTCCAATATATTCAGATTTTTGTTAAGACATAGAAATTCACAAAACTTCGACCGAATAATCCTCATAATGAGAAAATAATCGTATATAATTATAACACCAGAAAATCCTCACTTAAAATTCGAATCACATTAATACTTAATCGAGTAAATTTAAATTTCAAATTTTCACTTACCTCTATTTTCTTTTCATAATTCGATCAAGGTTCAAGCTGGACACAAAATAACGCGGCGCACTTTTAAATCTTCAACAAATCAATATATTTTACGGAATCAGGACAGACGAAAAAATTAAAATACGTAAACTGCACTGAAACTGTTTACAAAACCGTCACAATATAAGGAAAGGCGAACTGACAGATGTAAGCTCACTTAGCCAGTCTTGCCAATAACACAGCACCAAATATCGGAGCCCAGGCGTTTTGATAACTTAAATCTCTTATCAATAATTGAACAAATAATATTTATCCTTAAATTCTATTTAATCCTAATCCCAGATTTATAAATTTGAAATTATTTTAACCTAGTAAAATTTGTTTTATGTTCTTATTATCTTTCAGTAGAATAGAAAACAATTATAAATTTTTATTTTAACCAAACTCAAAATCAAGTATAAAATATTTTTAAAATGTAATTTCATATATTAATTACATAGTGAAAAGTTTTAACAAGGCAAATTAAAATGTTAAATAAAACCGAATGCTCAATATGAAGGGGGGCTTCTTCATTCAGTATTCTGTTTCTCTAATCAATAAAACGAACAACTTATAATATTTTTTAATGTTTTAATGAAATATTTATAATTATAACTTATCTTTTAATCGAATAAGTTCTTTTTTTTTTTTTTATCATGTAGGGCATATTTTTTCATTTTTTAATATTAGATCGCATACATTTTAACATCCACACATATTGCAATAATAAATAATATTTTGATTTTTACTACAGTTTATTTCTTTAATTAATAAATAATTGTAAAATTGCACGTTTCAGTTTTGAAGATCCGATTTAAGTCCTAGAATAATTAAATGAATGGTTTAATTATCATTTCAAAATCCTAATTATAATATTTTACAGATAATATATCTTATTTTACTCTTTTTGAAAAGTTTTTTAAATATTCATAGATAAACAATATAGTTTTAACTAAGATATTTCATGATTATTATTGTAATGTTATATAAATATGATCAAATTGTATGTTTTTAAAATTTCTCATATCATATATGATAAGAAAAACAAAACAATAAAAGAATTTTTAATTTATTGTCTAATTTATAGGATTCATCCTAATAAATTAGCAATTATAAGTTATATTTACATTGCTGAAACATGCAAATAATTATTAATATGAAAATTTTGTTCCATGGTTGAATTTTTTTATCAAAAGTCATTGTTAATTTTGATGAGCTGAGTAATAACAGCTTAAAGTAGAAAAAAAACTGAGAGGAAAGTTTAAGATCGGTGACAATTGAAGGTGAATATATATTTAATCTTGTTTTTTTTTTTTTATTAACATTAATTTTTCGACTTTGTAATAAATATTTTTAATAAATATAATCTTATTAACTTGTTATTTACACACACAAAAAACGCGTATTTAGACTACAGTAAGTATTTTCAAAGAGGATAATTTGAAGGGAAGGGTCCAGAAAGGTTCAAATATAATAATAATCGTTTAGCTTAGAATATTGAATTGTATTGAGTGTTAGTCTGAGAAGAAAAATATGAAATAGTAAATGAATGGACTAAGAACACAGCAGCTTACTGTTCTAAGAAATAATAGTCTTATCTTCATGCAAATTCATTGTTATAGAATAATGACAGTAAATTGTAGTCGAACCAAAAACAAGTTTAAGGAATCACATTTTCACATTTAGAGAAAGGAGAGGGGATGAGAAGAAAATGAGTACTAGTGACTTTTAAAAAATAAGTTTAGGATAGTTAATGGAATGTGATATTGGTGACAAAATGATATAAGTAAAGGTCTACTATCAGCTGTGATAAATGTATCTATAAAAATCAGCTGTTTATTATTGCAATGGGTACTAGCAATATTGGTAACTCTTGTGAACTAAAATTTATGCTTCATTCTTAATAAATGTTGTATCACATACTGTGTTAACAAAACTTTAATCTGTTTAAAGCTACAATATTGAAACCTGATCTAATCAGTTTACTAATTTTATCCAAATAAGCATTTTAACAAATTACTATCAATTAGAGTAATAACCACCAATATATGTTCCTGATGATTCCATTTTCAACCGCCTTTATGTAACTGTAAGTTTTTGTCAAAGGTTTGACTTTCTTTGTATGTTTCATAATAGAATATATTACCAAGTTATGGTTGTAGTGAATTTTAATTACTTAGATAGTTTTTTCTTTAATTTCTTATTTTTTATCTCAACCCCTTATAGCTTTGCATAGCATTCATACATTATAAAATGATTTTAAGGCATTATTCATGTAATTTAAGCTAAAGTGCCAACAACTATAATAAAAGGTACATTTTACAATATTTTGAATCATAGGAATACTTCTGCTTTTCTTTTCCAGATTTTTCCCTGTTATTATGCTTGTTTTGAATTATATTGTTTTTATTGTGTTAAATTATAGATCATTCTTTTAAATATTAAGTAGCTTTTCTGAAGGGAAGAATACTGAGCTTCCAATGCTAAAGGTCCCAGGTTCGAATCCTGGCTCATGGCAGAAAAATGATTTATTCTGTTTCATTGGCCGTGGGGCGACTCTGGGTAGGCGATCCTCCTGGGGTACACCCAGCCTCTATAAATTGGGTACCCTGGTACCCTTAATTAAAATAATTAATTAAGGGGAAAAACCTGGCGGTTGACCGTGACCTTGGTCAAATCACCTCCTTGCAAAACCATGGACCAAGAAACAATGCTTTCTCTAAATATTACTGGACCCAAGACAAGAACCTTCATGGATTGCAACAGGTTTCTTACTTTTTTTGTTTTTCTGTGAAAGAGGTCAAATAAAATAAGTAAAATTTTATTCAGTAAACAAAAATTTGTTTCACCACCTCAATCATGTTTGCGAATGTCATATTTTTCAGTTTTGCATTTCCTTCTTCTAAAACATAACTTTTAAGATGCTTTGTGATTGTGTCCTTCTTCTGACATAATATTACTGTAATGAAATCCTTTGCGAACTCTTCTAAGATGTTGCCAACAGCTTGGTCTCCAGTTAGCCCCCATAATGAAATCTAGACATAAAACATAATAATTTGGATTTAGATCAATACTATAAAAATCTTATGAATGATTTTAGTAGTTACTTTAATTTTTTTTTTTTTTTTTTTTTTTTTTTTTTTTTTTTTTTTTTTTTTTTTTTTTTTTTTTTTTGAGTGATTAAGACTTTACATGTGATTTAATATATGTATTTGTAAATATTTATATAATCTCATTTAATTTTAGAGCAGTTACAACTAGGGTCTGTTGTCCAAATTTCTTTCAATTGGACTCAAACCATCTTTAATGGAGAAGATCATCAACAATTCGTAGGGGTGTCCATGACTCCCAAGATCGATGGTACATGCCCACTCCTTCCCAAGGAATTGTATTGCTCTTCTCTTAACAAACAGTGCAAACTAAAGTAGAATTTAAAAAAATGTAGATCATATAAAATTAAACTTGTTGTGGTTTGTTTGAAGTTTTCCCCCTTGTTCCCTGATGTGAACGTTTTTACAAATTTAAGTCTCAAAAAAGTGTAGTTATTTCCAAAAATTCATAAACCCATCAAAATGTGCTTCCCTCAAAAGTTTTTATAGGCTTGTGCCTTACACTTCCCTTCTCCCAGACAAAAATTAGTAGAATATAGATTGAAAAAAAAAACTTTATTCTGGGACTAAGTCCCTTCAGAATAACAATAATGTACAAAATAATAAAATATTACTGGCCTAAACGGTTGAAACAATAAATAAAATTGATAAAATAAAATAAAAAGTAAAGAAAACCTTAGGTGCACAAGCTATATACAATCCAGATAAAACTATGTACAGAGCATTTAAAATTATGAACAAAACAATTAAAACTATGAACGAATCACTTGAACTATGAACAAAATTATATATAAGGGTTGAACAACATAAACATACACTTTGAGAAATGAAGAACGAAAAAGAGATACAATGAGTTCATTTCATAAAAAAAAAAGAAAAACTTTACTTGAATATATATATAAAAATAAACAGTTAATTATAATTGAATAAAAAAAAAAATGTATGTATTGAAATTCCTACGTCGATAGTAGGAAATGCATGTACTATCTCTTACCAAGTATTATAATTGTATGATTGCTACACAATACATATATAATATTAATAGTTAGCTGGTATCTGACTGTTTTTGGAACAGGAATTGGAATAGGAGGTTTTTGAATGTGTATAGGGAAGGGGCATGTTGAATTTTGATCGGGAGAGAATTCCAAAAGTTGACAGAGCGAGCTATAAAGGAATTTTGGAATGAAGCAGATCTATGAGAAGGGATGTATAGGTCAGAGGGTCGGGATCTTGTAGTGAGGGAATGGATTGAGGACTTACATTGGAGAAGGTTGTAGGCATAAGAAGGACGATGATCGGTAATGATTTGATAAAGGAAAGTGCCTAGGAAATATTCTCTTCTTAAGGAGGGGAATAGCCACCCTAACTCAGTGTAGTGGTGGGAGACACGGGAGCATCTCGGGGTCCCAATTACAAATCTTAGGAAGTTATTCATAAGTCTTTTGAGTCTATCACGGAGTTCCACCGAGAGGCCATCGTACACCACACAGCTGTAGTCAAAGTGGGGAAAGATGAGAGAGGAAACTAGGAGTCTACGGGTATTTTGGGGTAGAAGATGGTGGAAGTGATGGAATAGTTTGAGGGTAGAAATTGCACGGCTGGATATATGAGAGATATGGTGATTCCAGGAAAGGGTTTGATCTATGAGAAAGCCTAAATTTTTAACAAAGGGATAGAAGGTGATGGGGTGGTTGTTTAGATAGTACATAACCTTCTAAACTAAAAGTTACTTTGAATTAAATTAGTAATTTTTAATAAGTTTTTGGTTTATGGCAATTTCAATGTTGATACAAATTATTTATTTAAATATGAATTTCAAATCAATAATGTTTGTAAATTACATTTAAACGTAATTGACTTGATGGACAGTTGGTGAAAGAGTACTGGCGAGGGAAGATGGTGCACAAATACATATGTTTATAATTTATATATATGTTTTAAATTATTCTATGCATGTTTTTCCAGGAAAACTGATTCAATTGCTTATTTTTATTTCTTTTTCATATTAGGACCCTGAACGTTACAAAATTTATATACTACTAAACATTACTTAGATTGTACACACTGGCTACTTATCACATTTAGAAAATGTACTCTAATTGACTTACTGGCTAAAATATAATTGATTTTACAGTTTCAAACAGTTCGACTGAGAAGTTTATCAGTAATTCAGTTTATCTCTGAGATCCTGATATATTATATTGTTCTTAAATAAGATGTGATATATAATATATAAAAAGAATAAAACTTTTTAAAATAGATATGTGTTTTGAAATATGGTGGATACATCATAAGTTAATTAGGTAAAAATTCTAATTACAATGTTAATATTTGAAAATGTAAAATTAAAACTTTTTACCTCAAAATCATCAAAAATATAATCCACGTCAAAAGTATGAATTTGTATATGACCCCCTTTAGGTTGAATTTTTGTATCTAGGGCCACACCTAGATTTTTCAATTTGAATCTAAAAATAAGGTTTATCATAAGTATGTTTTTTTTTTGTTAATGCAACAAATAATTGATAATAAAATCACAATCAAGGTATTAATGAAACATTATTTTAATATCACATTTATTTACTAACAATATCAATAAATCAATCTGTACAAAGAACAAATTTTATTGATACTATGAAATGTTTTGTTTATTTAGGCTTTTATCTAAAATGTAAACATTGTTAATATAAACAAGAAATATTTTTGCTAAACAAAAAATTGTAATATAAATATAATAGAGAACTAATTATGTGTAAATCTCATTAAGTGCTTTAAAATATAATGTTTGAAAATTAAAGAGAAATACTTGTGTGTATTTTATTATTCTTGTAACTATTTATGTACCATATTTTTAATGAAATATTTACTTAACAAAATTGATTGCAAAATATTTCCTTATAATGCAAGATATTTCCTTATAATTCATCAAATATTTAAGAAAGGGGAAGAAAGGTAATCTATGATTTTTTTCATGGGTGATAAATATTCAAGACGCAGTCTTTTTTAAAAATTTTTATTTTTGCCAACGTTTGATTTTGAAAACCCAACCATACTCGCCACAGTTCCCAATCACCAAAAACGACTACTATTGGAATCTGTATTCATTAATTTGGAAAATAATCCGGTAAAACATAAAGTAGACAAAGAAAAGATCTGCAATACATATTCAAATATTTTCCGCCTCCTGAAACAATAGCCTATGTAATCCTTAATATAATACAAACATATATTATGATAAATATTGTTATTCTTTAAATATTGTATAATATATTGTCCTAAGTATCAATTGCATACATTGAAATTGTATTTACTATAGAAATTATTCATCTAACCATTGTATACTTTCTATCAAACTAAGCTATATTTATATTGATTGGCACCATTTGCTTATGTTCATTTCAATACTAGTCAATAGTCACATTTCTGTAACCATATGAAATAACTCAAATATTGTACACGTCTGAAATATTTGTCAGCAAATTATGTATATTCTACAAACATAAATGTTACCTCCCCCCCTTTCCCTCTATGTTGTTTACCTACCTTTTGCTATCTGAAAAAGGACAACTGGGAAATCCCCAACCCCTGACCTTTTTACTTACCTATCAAACATGTGTCAGTACTTGAACACCCTCAGTGCTCAAACCACGGTTAGTAAGAGAAAATATTACAAATTTATATAAATGGATTATATACATTATTTTTTTATTTTTATATTTTATTTTTAGTTTGTATAACTATTTTAATATTTAATTTTAATATGTGTATTACAATATTAGTTAAGATTCATGTGCCATCAATCACTATAGTTTATTATTCATAATTAGCGGTCGTATACTATTATATCTCTGATTGTAATTTAAAAAAAACATTTTCAGCCCTGAAGATGATCCACATGTTTGGGTTGAAACGTTGGCAAAAATAAAAAATTTTAAAAAAGACTGCGTCCTGAATATTTATCACCCATAATAGAACAGTCGACTAACTTCCTTCAAGGCTTATGATTTTTTTTTTTTTTTTTTTGTCACATTATTTAATTTGCAATTTTCAGAATCCTCTCGTTGCAAAAAATTCAAAAATCATAAAATCATTCTTCATTGATGTAAAATATTTATGTTATAATCAAACAATGATGAAATTAAAATTAAAATATGAAAAGATTCATTTCATTTGTTAAATATTACTGAGATAATCTGTCTGTCATACTTACAAATATATTCCATCTCCTACTATAGGTAAAACGGTGAAATATGACCCATTCATCTTATAGCTTCCAGATATTTGTGTATCGATCAGTGTTCCAACAAAGGACACATTTAAGTCAGGAGTAATAGCCATCTTTTCTAAGTTGTAATTAGTGTGTCCTTTCAAAAAACCATTGAATGATAAATCTAACCTTTGAGCGAAATTAATAAATATAAATAATTGCCATACATAAATTAAAAACAGCTAAAGAGAATATATAGCCATACCTCAAATTGGGATCGTTCATTGACAGAGTTCTTTCAAAATGTAATGGATCCAAACCATTTGCATGATTAAGTTTGCTCTCTTTTCTTAAATGAATGCTTGTATGATACAAGAAATTCTCTGGAAACAAAGGATGTTAAAATGTTAAATTTTTACTAACCCAAAAAATATTATAGTATATTGAAAATGAATAGGATAATAATAAACCATTAAAATTTGCCCAGGATATTTTGAAGTGCTAAAAATGCATAGAGGAACTACTTCTTCAAGGAATAGAGGTATTCTTTCAATGGATACCAAGTCAATGTGGTCCCCATGGCAACGAAATGTCTGATAAACTCGCCAAGGAAGGCTCAACATTGAACCAGCCAGAAAATCGAATATCATTTCATAGAGCCAGAAAATAAATAAATAAGGCAAATGAAACTCTACTGCTGGAATTGGTAAAGAGCAGTACTGTGGAGGGAAGGGGAGGGGAAAGGGGGAGGATTTCGGGCTGAAGTCCCCCCCCCCCAAAACGGTAAAATGTTTATAGAAAAAAATATTAAAAACTATCTCTTAAAGTATTATTGTTCATGTAATTACATTTAATAGGGCTTCAACAATCACTTAAACATCATTTCATATAGGTAGTTCATTTCTTTCTTCTTCTTTTTCAAAAATTAATTATCGTTATATACATGAAAAAAAATCTTTTGGGCTGAAGCCCCCAAAAATTAAATCCTGGATCCATTAGTGCTGACCATGACTACCTTAGGAAACATCTGAATAGAATAGGAGTGACAGACTCTCCATATTGCAGCCTATGTAATTTGGAAGCACATACAGATGCAGCGCATTGAAGTGTATGCTCACATTTATTAAACATTAGAGGTCCAAATCGGAATGGTACTGGGTTGCAAGGTCTCTGGTGACGGAAACTGATAAAGAGAGAAAAAATAAAAAGAAAAAAGAAGATTTAAAGACAAAAATGATTAATATTATGTTAAACAGATTCTGTAAACCAAGAAATTTTCTATTTAATTATTGCATTTAGAAAGTTTGAACAGCAATAATGCAAATAATTTATTTTTTTCTACAATGTAATTTATACATGATATCTAAAGTCTAAATGACTAACCTATGGGAATCACATCTTCAAATCAAAAGAAACATTTTTTTTAAATCTTTTGTTCAACAGATATTCAACATTTTGTTAGTGAATAAAATTATTTCTTATTTCACTCTCCAATAAGAACATTCATTATATTTATGAGATTTCATTAATATAAAATAAAACAAGATAAAAAAAGCCCCGGTATTTATGTTTTAAACAGAGCTGGATTAAAGCTTCAGAAAATTAACTGTAAAACCACTTTTTTGAACTTGGAAACACTAATTTCAGTTATATTTCTCTTGTTTTTTATAAATACTTTCATTTGTAGCTTCATTTATATATATTGCAGTTGCAGAAGAATAAGAATGAAAAACATCATTAATTATCTGGTTAATCAATCAATATTCCACTTTATTCCTAAAGTTTTCCTTATTTTCTAAATTTGTAGCATTTTAAATTTTAAAAATTCCCATATTCACACTAAAAGGATAAATTAATATTTTATAAATAATTCTAAATAACAATCTTTTTACACATATTTATTTATTAATATGATTTATTACTTTTGAAAGCAAATGTATTTAAAAAAATATTTATATTTTTTAAATCAGAGAATGAATCAACTATGCTAATAATACTTTCTTGATTCTCACAATGATATTAATTTTATATCAATAAACTAAGTACTCACCAAAAAATGATCCTGATGAAATCAAACTATTCATTATTAGAATTATTGTAATATTTAAAATTTTAGTTATACTAATCATATGAGCCATGATAATGGACTAGAATGGAATTTATACTGTAACTAGAAATAAAAAAATAAGTTATAACTATTGCTTTTAAATATTGCTACATCATACAAATAAATTTAAAATAGCTACTACAGGTGTCTTCACAATGGTCGAACCCTTATCTTCCAAATGGCTTAGCACTTAATATGATTCCTATCTGAGAATAGTGATAAGAAAACATTTTTACCTGATAATTATGAATGGGCAATCATTGAACAGGAGCATTTGAAGTGGTCATTATGTACATAATGTCTAAAACCACTACTTTTAAATTCTTTTTAAAGTAAATAAAGTTAGGATTCTGGAAAATTCTTAGGCTATAAAACTGAAAATAATCTAAATAATATCACACATACATTTACATTGTGCATATGTGCATTCAAATGTGTATATTTATATATTTTTTTCATCCTATATTATCGATTAACATTTTTTTTTTTATGTTGTAGAAGTTTGATTGAAGATCATTAGATAGTGTGAAATATATAAAAATTAAAAATGTTGTCTTTATGCCAACATGTGTATACATTTATTTTATTACCTAAGGACCACTTGAATGAGAATGTAACAGTTAGGTAAATGTATTAATTGAATTACATCTATTTCAATGTTTTTGTTTGTTTTTTTTTTATTGAAATTTACAACTATATTAAATGATAAATACAACAAGTAAATATGAAATAAGTAACATTACATGTACAACATGAAGAGAAACTACCCATTAGTAGCACTCCAATTATATTTCTATATTAGAAGACCACCTACTTTGTAATTAAAATAAATTTTTCTCAAACAATATATCTAATTAATCAATTTTATATTGAAATTGTACTATTTAATAATGAAATTAAAGAAAAATGCAAATTATTAGCCTATAATTTATTATTTCCAAATAGGCTTTACTATAACTAATCTTACAAAATTTAAGCATATATGAGACTGATATTATTAGTTAATTATTTAGAAATTTACTTTTTAAAACAATTTTTCGGAATTCTTGGTAATAGCTTCCATCAGTAGAAACTTTAAATACTCATTTTTCATTTATATATAAACTTTTGATTGACAAAACCTTTTTTTTTTTCCCAATCCCCAATGCTTCTCAAAGACTACACATCAATGAATCAATGAATGCTTTATTAATGATTTGATTGATTTTTAAAGGACTTAAAATATTACAATGCGTTATAATTATATTTTAAGAATTTTATATAATCCGATTAATATTATTTAAAAAAATATTTGAAAAATGGCATAAATAAAAATTGGCAACACTGCTGCTACTTGGAGACCCGATCCGAACGTCCATTCCATTTCGTCCAGTTACGAATTGAGTGCTTGTTCTCTGTTGAGCTAAGGCCAAGTGGCGACTTGCACACTTTATTAAAAATACAAACATGTCCAAGGCAGAATTAGCTTGTGTATACTCTGCACTCATCCTCGCCGATGACGATGTTGCCGTAACTGTAAGTAATTAATATATTATACACAGAACTATTAATAGTTACATGTGCGTTAGTTCGTGTACTACTTATGATTATTAACTTAAATGCGTTTTGAATTATAGTTAACTGGATATAAAAGAAATACCATTAAAGAGATGTAAGAATTGCTTAGTGAAGATAATTTTTACCCAATGTTTGTTAACTGCCACGTGCAGGTTAACCACGTGGATAGTCGTTGACCCAGGTTAACAGGCCTTATTTGAATGTTTTAACTGGATGTGATTACCAGTTGACTAATTAAATAACCAAATAAATGTGTCTAGATATAGTAGCACCCTTTAAAAACAACATGAATGCACATTTTCAAAAAATAATTGGTCTAATTTTCCTTGTCCGTTTTTTTTTTTTAGTTTCTATACTTTATTTTAATTACTCATGCCTTAAATTGGTTATTAGCAAGCATAAATTTGGTTTAACCATATTTAGTTATAGAATGTAACTTTCCAATTGTGTTTACATCCTTTTTTATTCTCATCTGATGTTAAAGTATGATTTATGAATCAAAAACTTTTGTAATATTGATTATTGGTTCTAGTTTTCTAATTAATATGTATTCTACCATTCATGAAGTTGTGACTGGTTATTGCTTTGTAATAGTTTTTTTTTTTTGTTCCCTACCTCGCCTTTTAGGCTATACGGGATTTTCCTGGGGCGGGGAATTTTAAAATCCCCTCCGGCACCGGGATGCGAACTCATACTTTTTTAATCTTCTCAAATCTCTTATCCGGTTGCCAGGCAACTCGCGGTGCAATGCACACGCTTTAACCTATTCGGCCACCCCGCCCCCTTACTGCTTTGTAATAGTTATCTACTTTGATGGTTCTAGTTTTCATGATCACATTAAGTAAATTTCAACGGCTGAGCATTGACTGTGTTTCCTCTATTACTTCCTATTTGACCGATAGGCAAGAATAAAAGTATAAACCAATGTTTACAATTTACTGGTTGTAGATTGTTGCTTCTTATAAGAGAAGAATGAGGATTACAGTCATTAGAACGATTTATTCATTAAATGGTTTCTGCTTGGGCCGAAACGTTGGCACAAGGTAAATAAATTTAGTTTATTTTTGTGTACTTCCTGACAACAATCTCCTACCAACTACTCTTATTTATTGTAGTATAATTAATATTAAATGTTATTAGTTTTAATATTTAAGGGAGTGGGGTAACTCAGTGGCTGGGAACTGAGCTTCCGATTCTATAGGTCCCAGTTTCGAACCCCGGCTCATGGCAGAAAATTTATTTATCTGTTTCTTTGACCGTGGGGCCACCCTGGGGAGATCCTCCTGGGATATACCCAGCCTCTATAAAGTGGGTACCCTTAATTAAATAATTAAAGGAAAAACCTGGCAGTTGATCATGATCTCTGTCACATCACCTCCTTGCACAACTGTTGACCTAGAAAGAGTGTTTTCCCTAAATGGTACTGAACCCAAAACCCTTCATGGGTTGTAGTGGTACAGGTTTTTTTTTTTTTTAAATATATATTTGATATTAAATATTGGCAGAAATGGTAATATCCACTGATGAGAATCATTCTTATAGATTTTAAATTAATATCAATATTTTTATTTTAGGGAGAGAAAATCCAAACCATCCTCAAAGCAGCCAGCGTTGACATTGAGCCCTACTGGCCTGGCCTCTTCGCCAAAGCCCTTGAAGGTATCAACGTCAAGGACCTCATCACCAACATCAGCAGTGGTGTAGGTGTTGGCGGTGGTGCTCCAGCAGCTGCTGCAGGTATGTTTTTCAAATTTCATTTTCCTTAAAATTTAAGATTATCTTTTTAATGTGGTTTATATAGCATCAGCAAATCTTGCCTGAAGTTTGAGTATTCATAATGGTATATCTACTTAAAAACAAAAATACTCATTAGAAACCCTAATTAAGGTTTCTGTAATTATGTATAACCAGCAATTCTAGTAACCATTTTTATTATTGGCCTTATATTGAAGGTGGCTGGACATCTGACTCCATCATCGTTAAAATTTGAGTTACAAGTTCATTCTTTAAAAGAAAAACAGGAATATTAAAATTGCTTAAAAATTTGAAGTTCATTTCCAAACTGGAACTTTACGTTTAACAGCTCAATAGACAGGCTCTGATCATGTGATTTAATCTTTAGCAATGGTTGTCTGTTATTTCTAGGAGAGAAACAACTAAAACATGGATTTAATGGACTGAGAGTAACGTGGGGAAATAGTATTTTGATAATTAGTTTTAAACTCTTGGTAGATATTAGGGTTTTTTAAGTATATCATGTGGTAAGATACAGCTCTCCCAATCGGGACAAACAAATGTCTCAGTGGAATATTACTTTCTATGTCTTTTGATACAGATTGCTTGAAATACATTTAAGACTTATTTTATATAGAATTAATAGTGGACATGTAATAAAATAATAAATTATGAATTAATTCCTTTTTTCAATGAAATACGAGTTATTCCTCAATAATAATATGTTTTCCAGAGAATATTTTAAAGCTGTTAGTTCGTACCTGGTTTCAAAAGGGACCAAAATCACTTTCATAAATATTCTCTCCTGTAAAATTGTGAATAGATTGTTGTTCTGTTTGACATTTTATCAAAAAACCATGATCTTTTGTGGCAACCTTCGAAATTTAAATATATTAAAAATTCTTGTTATACTCAGTTATTGTCATTTTTCATAAAGTCAAGGCCATTCTTTTTCACCATCCTATTTTTCATTAAATCTATGCAACTTGATACAGACTCTTATTTTATGTAGTATGTAAATATTTTATCTTAATTAATATATGTCCTGATATGAACGGCTTAATTTAACTAAAGTACCATTCAATTTTTTGTTCATCTTCATCACTGTTGTATGTAGTTATTTATTTAACGTTATGTTTTTTAATCACATTAGATATTGTTTCCTTCGATAAGTGGTGTGTGTATACATATATATATATATATATATATATATATATGTAATCTGTATTTTATTTTAGGCGGTGCTGCACCCGCTGCTGCTGCTGCTCCAGCCGGTGGTGACAAGAAGAAAGAAGAGAAGAAGAAGGAAGAGAGCGAACCTGAATCAGATGATGATATGGGCTTCGGTAAGATATTTTTTAATAAAGTTTATGTTGCAGTTAAGCATGTATGTAAATTGGTTTAACTAATTAATTTTATTTTTTTCAGGTCTGTTCGACTAAAAATGTACAAATTCCTTTTTTTTTTTACAAATGTACATATATTTCTGATATGTGCTTTATAAGTATGAAATAAAAGACTTTTACAAATATTGAAGATTTTTGTTATTTCCTTTGGCTCATTGATGAAGGCTCAGGTGCCTTAGCAGTGGATTGTTAATCCAGACCATTCCTTAATCTGAACTATCAATTATAAAAAAAAAAAAAGAAATTGAAAGTTTCATTTTATGAATGGAATTATTTTTATTTCATATAATATGCATTATATGATTTGAAGGCACAGAGGTTAAGATGGGCGGGGCTAAGTTCAGATTCTAAAACATTCACTTTTTATCCTCATATAACTTCAGTAAATTATATTGATGCCAAAGCTCATTGAAGGTGATCAAATGGATAATTAAAATTAGAGCTGATGTTTTGAACTTAAATTATAAACACTTGAAGCAAACAAATAATTATTGTAGCATGTGTAATGCAAACGAAACAGAAGATCTCTATCACTTCCTGGCTGCTTGTCCGATACTCTCTGAATTTAGAATTAAATGGTTAAAATCAAGAAATTTATCTCGGGATCAAGTAATAGATTTAATAAATGGAAACAACTGGATAGCATTGGTAAATTACTGCAAGTCTACTTTCTTCTATAGAATTATGCTCACCAGAGAATTTAATAATTAATAAATTGGAGAATTTGGGTACCACTCTTTTTCTAATTACAGTATTTATATAACTTATACATCGTAAATATAATTAGTTGTTTATAAATAGATTGAAATGTAATTTTGTTTTAAAAAACTGACTCCTCTGAAGGGGTAAACAGAACATGCTGCATGTCTGATTTTCGGTTTTAAATCCAAAAATATTTTGTAATTGATATGTAATTTTGATAAATAAAAAGACTTTTTATTCTGCTGGGAACAGCTAGACAGTTTTGAGTGCTAAGTATCCTGCTGAAATCAACAGGAACCAAGCCATTTTGGAACGACAACGCCACTGCACATCATTGTTAGTCCAAAGAAAATTGAACTGCAAGCAGTAAACGATTTGCCTCATCCTGTCTGTAGCAGGTATGGTTTGTAGCATATTATCAGGTAATGGTTTGTTTAAATTAGGGCTTTTCAAACTTTTAGCACTGTAGGCCACAAGTAAGTCTCCACTCACTAAGTCCTGTGTAGACGTGTGCATTTCTGCTACTTTTGAAAAACGTAAATGAACTGTTTATTGACAGAAAACAACAGTTCTAAGAACTGTTGAAAAAAAAATAGTTCATAGAATAACGTAACGATTCTTGGTGTAAGACATATTTGTTTGATAACAGTCTTATTTGTTTTAAAACAGATTCAATTCGTTTAATGACAAGTCTGGAAATGAATGAAACATTTTATGAATAAAGTTTGACATTGTTCAATAACCTTTTAATATTAACCAAATGCTTAATCTTAAAAATTACTTTTTAACTAATTAAAATTGAAAATTAGCTTCTGTGCATAGAACACTTTTTATTTTAATAATATTTTAACTTTCTTGTATTAATCGGGTAGTTGTGATTTTGGACAAGTTCCAAAACTCTCAACAATGAGCTTATTGATGACATCCTTTCGCCCAGCGTAAAGGTGTATCGGATGCTATCGATGAACTTAGGAATTTTTTCTTTTTTAAAGAAATTTGTTTTGCCATGCTTCTTTATCAAGTGTTGTTCTTAGTTTGAAGTTACGCTGCTTGGTCATTATAAATCTTTTAACTTGTTTAAAAATGTTTTCAACTGTTTGCCTTTTTCAATTTTTATAGAACATCATAGTGTTTATAACTGTGGATTAATGGTTGACTGCAGTGAATAATTGAAGAGAACAATGCTTTTTGGTTTTTTTTTCACTGATCACCCCAACCATTCTTCCCTTCAATAATAGTATTTAATTTTATTTATGCACTTAAATTGATTTATGTGAATATGTTCAATCATAAAAATTGTTTTCGGTCTGCAAGACACTAATATAGATAGATACATCTAAAACATAAACTAATTTTGCCTACAAATATGCTTAAGTTAATTTAGTATTTTTTTTTTTTTTCCCCTACCCCTCAGGAATTTCTTTATTACAAAGTACAATATATAAATGAAGTAATGTACTAACTATAATGAAAGTTTTTACTTATTCCTAGCCTTCAATAATAATGGGAGCTAAAAATTACATCCCTAAACATAACAGTTGAAACATGTCTTATAAAAAAAAAAACTGTTGGGTTATTTTCATGATGAACTGATAGGTTAGTTGGAAAATAGAAAGAGCTTCTGTTTCATTTGGAAAAAACGAAAAACAGATCAAACAGCAACTCAAATAGTGGCAAACGGGTGAACTAAAAAAAAACCACTGTTATCCGTTTGGAAGAACAGTTCATTCCTTTGAGATCAAGAACTATTCTTTTCAAACGTTTGGCATTTTCTCTCCCACCTCTAGTCCTGTGGACCATGGCTTGTGAAGAAATTTTTCTTTTATAAATGACACTTCAGCTGTGAAATGAGATTTTTAAGAGAAACAACTCCTGTAATAAATGTTGGTAGCATCTGTGTGTTTGTGTTTTACTAAATTTCATATTTTTAATATTTTGCCATATAATCACGGAAAGTTTCACAGGCTGTAGTTAAAAGACCCTTGTTTCAGATCAATGGCTCATTTTTTAAAAGGTTGGATCTTAGATAATTACAAGGATGTGAAGAGTTTTTTTTTTGGGATCTTGGATGGATTTTTTTTTGGATGGGCATATTAACCAATATACCAATTCATTTTTGGTGCTTAACAGTTTATATTATTAAAAGCAATATGGTTATACTGGTAGGCCCATGCGAATAATTCACAGAAAATTTTGTTTATTGAAGAAATAGCAAAACAGTATGGAAATAAGTAGATCCTACGTATTATGTAAGGAAGGAATTAATATTTTTTCCTTGGTAGATAACTATATTCCATTTAACATAATAGATCAAAATATTAATACAAATTGCTTTGCTAGGACCTATTTTTGAACGCTGACTGGAAAGATAATAAAAGTAATAAAGACAAAATAATGTCCCGATCATGGGATTTTATAAATTATTAAAAAATAGAAAGTGTAAGAACAAACAAATGCCTTTAAGAAATAATAAAGTTAATATATCAGCCAGGAAAGAAAGTGTAGTAGACGATTCTACTCCTTAATTTACTATCTTTAAAGAGGAAGATGTTATTAAGTATACCAAAATTAATGGACTGTATCTTTGTTAATAATTATACAATTTTTTTTGTTTTGTAGGTAATTTAGTAATATTTCTAATTATCATGGGTACAATCCAGAAAAAAAATGCATACTTTTTAGGGTTATTAAAAATAAAGTTTTTTTTCCAGAAATTTCGGGGTGATGGGACTATTTTTCGCACATGAAGGAGAAGAATATCTTCAAAATGAGTGGTTAATCATTGGATTTGATGAAGTTACTGCGTACTGACAACACCTTTTAGAAATAATATCCATAATGTGTAAATAATTTTTCATTAATGAGTTAGTGTAAGAGTTGTTGTACAGAGGAGGATGTTTTTGATGAGTAAATGGTAGAAAGAATCAAGAGTATGTGGATGTGTTTGTACAGGAAAGGAGAACATGGTTGTCATCGGCTATTGAGGAATGGTTGCAAGAGCAATAAGGAGAGTCCAAGATATTTATTTTAAAGAGATGGGATGGTAGGCTATTGTGGTTGAGGCGAAGGCGTGATATGGAAGTTAGGAATTTTCTTGAAGCTTTGTAGGGTCGGAATCAAGGAAATGGTGGGATTTGAGGTTGGACAGCTTTATAGTAATGCCCTTTCATGTTTGGTAGAGAACTCTTTTTGCCATCGCTGTGGCTAGTATTTATTTAAATGAGCCAGTGTGAAGAATTCTTTGCCTCCAAAGGAGGGGGTACAAACTTCGAATCCACAAACTGACAGAAGGATGGTTGGGAGTAATTGAAAACAATAGACTTTACTTTGAAAAGTATTATTCACTAATGATTAAAATATGTAATATGAAATAAAGCTATACTAATGTATGAGAATTTTTTTAACTACCTAATATTTCAAAGGATAAGATTTTAAGAATGGCAAAATCTCCCTCTACCGATCTAATTTGGATCCCTTCCACATATTTTAACCCTTCATTCTTCATTGCCAGTCATTTTGGATAAATAATAAAAGGGGAATAATGGAATTTTTCTCCACTACTCAAAATTATTTTTTTGGGTAATTGACTATATTCAGGAAAAATGACTAAGTTGATTGATCAAGTTACTTTAATCAATTCCCTTATAATCAATTTTGGTTTATTATTTTCAATAATCAACCATTCTGATCGACCGAAAAATTCAAAAACTTAACCCCCTCTCAAAATTTGAGGTTTCACGTTTCAGGATGCATAGAATTCGAAAAACGATTAAAAATTTTCTCCGAAACTACTGGACCGATTTTTTTCAAATTTTGATATAAAATCAGAGGTAACCCGAGGATGATTCTCCTTCATCGAAATTACTATCCGCCTTTTACTTTCAAACCTGTGTTGTTATAGACTGTAGCTCCTAAACGAATGTACAGATTTCAATGAAACTTCGCTAAAGTCATTTTCTCGACGCTCTTTAAATTTATCTATATAACATATCTCAACGAAAAGAAGCTGGAAAAAAAGTTGCGAGGGATGGTAAAATTAAATTCCGAATAACTCGAAAAGTTAATACTTTTTTGTTGATATTGTATTCGTTTTTTAAAAGTTTACGAAATTTCCTAAAAAAACAAAAAAAAAATTGTTAAAATCGGACAATTAAGAGCAAAGATATGGTCTCTGGTTTTTTTTTATATGTTCTACTCCAAATGTTTCCTATGTTATATGTCCTTGGTTTGGTTTTTAAATTTTGAATGTGTTACTGAAGTAATGCTATTTTTTTTTAGCATATTACTAATGATTATAAAAAAAAAGTTTAGTCCAATAATTGGAATCACTTTTTGTTTATTTTTCTTTGTAACTCGGAAGGTAATGTTACTTTAGATGTATAATTGTTTGGAAATAATAAACCATTGTGAAATAATTTGCAGCATTTTTTAGTTGCTGCCCTATATCAGCGAGAGAGTGTATTCATTTCACAGAACTGGGGATGTAAATATTGGTACATATTGTATTTAATTTTATTTTTTATAGCTTGCACTTACAAGTCTTACAACTTGTAGTCCTCCCCTAATTAAGGGGGGGAGATATGGTCTAATTTCCCTAGTTCTAATTCAGCCATAGTGGGAAGTAGGACCAAGTTTCGATCCTATGATCTTTACTAGTATAGCACGCTAACCACTCAGCTATACCAAAATTACTTCCAGTAAAAAATTAACTGTTTTGCAAGTGCATGCTCCTACGATGACGGATTCCTATAAAGCAAAAGAAAAATTCTATCAAGAACTGGACACCGTTACTTCCAGCTTTAAGCAAAAAAAATATTGGATTATTGTGATGGGGAACTTTAATGGCAGGGCTGGTGTTAAACTAGATGGTGAAGATAGGATTATAGGAGATTGTAACGGTAAAAGAAACGAAGGAGGAAACCAATTAATCCATTTTTGTTTTAGCCGTTTAATTGGAAATTGGAATTTCTTTCTTTAAAAGAAAAGCTAAAGAAAAATGGACTTGGTGCTCACCAAAATGACACAAGTTTGAGTTGGACTATTTTCTGACTAATCAAATTAGTTTAGTCGAAAATGTGGAGGTCATACAAAGGCTAAATTTCAACACAGATCACAGGATGTGTAGAGCAAAGTTATCGAAAAGTATAAAAGAAGAAGCACTTACCTCTTCACGACCCAACCCAAATAGAAAAATTTCGAGCTGAACTCACAATAAATCTGCAGCATAATTATGAAAGTAGAGAAGGAAAAGTATTTAGTTCAGTTCAGGAAAAGTATAATATTATTGCCAAAGCCATTGAAGACACAAGGGCACAGAGTCCTGGGTTCAGTATGAGTAAACTATCAGAAAGTACGAAAGAACTTTTAAGAGTTTGTAAAAAGATAAAAGATCTCACGGTTCTGAACAATGAAATCAGGAAAAGAATAATAGAAGATCTGGAAAATTATAAAAATGATATGGTCACTAAAATTCTTCTACACAATAACTCCACAAGAAAAAATCAAAAAGAATTGTCCAAAGGTAGGCAATGGATGGTTGCTCTTGAAAACAGGAAGAAAGAAGTTATAACTTATAGGGAAAATATAAGAAGGTTAGCAACGGAATACTTCAGAGAACTTAATAAATGTAATCAGAAGAGAGTGAAAATAAATAGAGAGGCAGATGAAGTTCAAGAAGAAATCATATCAATAATGGAACAGGAAGTGGCTGTTATTGTAAAAAACTTGAAACATGAAAAAAGTCCTGGGCCGGATGATATTACGAACGAAATTTTAAAAACAGGAGAAGTTCTCATTAGGGAACTTACAGAACTATTTAACTTAATTTTTGAAAAGGAAGAAATTCCAGAACAGTTGAAAACAGCAAAAATAATTCTACTCCACAAAAGAGGCAATAAACAGGATATGGAGAACTATCGACCGATTTCCCTTTATCCTACCATGGCAAAGCTTTTTTTTTTTTTTTGTATCAGTAATTATCAAATATTTATTATTTTGGGCTTTGATGTTTTAATCTTTAAAGGTGAACAGGAATAACTGAAATCTTAGACTTTAATTATTTAATAGCAACTATCAAATGTTTATAGATATGGTTATTCAAAATATTTATCAATTTATGAACGTAATTATACGTCACTAAAGAAAAAAAACTCTGCACCACTATATGAAGAGTTTCGGGTTTAGTACTTGGAAAGTTATTTATATTTATTAGGGTATAAATAATATATCCTTGCTTCCTTGTAATTTTGTTAGAAATCTACTGTCTTTTAACCAAGCATTGAAAATTTTAATTTATTATCACTGACAAAAGAGAGTACCTAAAATATAACAGCAAAGGTATATGAAAAGGATAAAAAAGAGTCTCAAAATGTTTATTAGTCTTGATTGGATATGTGAGAGGTTGATCGCTCTACTCAGACTTTGATTGTCTAATACTAACCTTTCAATTGAAAGAATGACTAACTTCAATTTCAAATTTTCGAGTAAAATAATTTAAGTGATATTTCTAATTGGAAAATTTATATCTGTAGAGACAGTAAGTTGATTGCAGCGTTGAAACATAGAACTGTGAATAAAGGAATAAATTTTCCTATTATAAATATTAAAACTGTCAATCAAAATTGTTAAAATTGGAATTAATCATTCTGTCAACTGAGTGGTTCATATAATTATGCTGTATGAGGTAATAGTACTGCTGTACAAGTTTCACTCCGCTTTGTTGGGAAGCATAAGATCTCATTAATACACCATAAATAGAATCCTGAGAATGGCCGAAAGTGACCAAACTATCTGATGAAGCTCCAAGCTGAACTAAAATGGACTGGGCAGGGTGGCCGAACGGGCTAACGTGTGTATACAACACCAACGTTGTCCGGCAACCTGATATATGAGACAAAATGATAAACAACAGTCACGAGTTCACGTGCTGAGGGAGTCTTTTAAATCCCCGCCTACACTCCCTGACCCAGAAAAAAACCGTATAGCCTTAAAGTGAGGAAGGGGATGCCAAAAAAAAATTGATATGGACCAGTTAGGGATTTGTTTATCACTTAAGAGCAAGCGTAATGAGCTGGAGTCGAAAGCAAAAATGTTATTGAAGCTAACAAACCAATTTAACTGAAAAGGAACACAAGGGAGTTTACTGAAGTCCTAAATTACATTCTAAATCCTTAGTTATTGTCGGATTTCCATTTGTAGTGTCATCAAGGTGGAGTAACACTTATAGAGTGGTACCCTTAAAATAATTAAACAAACATTCAATATTAAAACTATAATTTCTAAATAATAAAGAAAATAGATCCAAAAATTCATTCTAGAAAATAATATTCAACTTTTATTAAATTAATAGTAATAACCAATAAGCTACAGACATTAAGTGAAGTTTATAAAATATGAAGTTTGCTGAATCTCGATTATTAGTCTTTAGTACAGACCCCTATTTATCAAAGTATTAACGTCCACCTGAAACTTTGTAAATAGCTTCATCTCATCGTAACGTACAACTATTTTATTTACAATCATTCTCGAAATTGGGGCGTTTTCAATTTGGAAATCAGCAAACTTTATCTATTTAATTAGGTACTAAAAAATGGTAAATACCCACTTGCTTTCCACTTGAATCATAAGATATTTTCAGCATATAGTTGAGAAAAAAAGGAGGCCTTCAAAAATATTGAGCTGTTTGGCGTGACCTACATCCCTAAATTGTCCAAATAATGAGGTAATATAGGATAAATGACCTAATTAAATAGAGAAAGTTTGCCGATCTCCAGATTGCAAATGGCCCAATTCCAAGAGTTTTCATAAATAAAATAGTTATAGGTTGCGATTAGATGATGACGACTCACTAAGTTTCTGGTGGATGTTAATCATTTAATAAAAAAGGGGTCTGTATCACTGACTATATATTAAACTACATTTTCACCACAATGCTCTCTGAACTCCAGACATTCGGTTATGATCAGCAAAGTCTCTAAAAACTATTCTACTAGCTCTCCACCTATGCACTATTCCTCTAGGCCTAGAAGTAAACGCACATCTATTCACGATTTTAGGCCCAAGACAGTCATTAGGGAGTTCTTCTATTTCTTTGTCAGCAATTTCCTAAAAATAGGCAATGAAAATTAATAAAAACGAAGGTACAGTTGTAATATAGTTGGATAATTACAGTAAATGGAACTGCTTAATACACCATACTAACTCTGATCTCTCTTGGTAACACATCATTTTTCCTGATACACTGAATTCTAAGTTTCGTGTCTGCATGAGCAGCTAAGTTTCTTCTTTTACGAACATCTTTCTTCATACGCCAATCTACCCAGAGCAAAGCCATCGTTCTAACTTGTTCTGTTTGTGGGACATAATTTACAACCTAAAAAAGGTTACTAATAAAATAAAAACAATACAATTATGGATTCAAACATCAATCAAATACACTTCTAATGTTAAGTACTCACTTTGCTTATTTTTCCCAAATTTTTGGCAGCTAAAGTGTAAACGTTATTTAAAAAATACATGTTCGATTAAATATATTGTTTCCAGCTCTAAATTACAGTGAAAAATTTTAAGACATTTTGTCGTTTTATAGTGTTATCTTATCAGAAGGTTAGAAGTATTCTATGAAATCCAAAGAAGTCGGAAAAGACAATAACATGTATTACCATTAGTTGTTTACTAATGGGTGGTTTACTAATGTTCTATAGAGCAGGAATCAGTGGTGTAGCTAGAGTTGAGACCAATTTATTTCATTTGGAGGAAATGGGAAAAATAGTAATAAAAATTTTTATTTCTCAAATTTTATAAATTGATTGCTTTTTAAATAAATAGATACAATGAAGTACATTATAAACGTAAAATATGTACAAAATCACAACTAAAAGGTTATAAATATAAAATGTTTTGTAATATAATAGGATTCGCATAACAGTTCAAATGGTCACTTTTCAAGTAAGCACCACTAATCCTAACGTTAGTTAATTACTAACTAACCAATGCCTAAAGATGGATGTACTATTTATGTCACTTGCTTCCAAAAAAATTTTCCACATAATAATATAAACCCCCATACCAGACTGAAACGACTAGAAACCGCCCGACGTTTTCGACTACTGCAGCACTTACTAGACAAAAACGCTCTAAACTTTCAACTATTTACAAATGACTCATATATATTACTATAATAACGCCTATTTGGACTTACGAGATCGAGCTTTGGGGCTCCACTAAACTATCAAATTCTTCTCGTATCCAATCTCTACAATCCAAAATCCTTCGTAAAATCCTCAATATTCCCTACTTTGTCACAAATAAAATCATCCATAACGACCTTAATGTTCCATATGTTTCCGATTTAGCTCAATCTAGATACCTGTCCTTCCATAATAAACTTCTGAACCATCCGAACCCTTTTGTTTCCAACCTTGCTTCTTCATCTATTCCTGATAACCCTCTGAGGCGTCTGAAAAGAAGATGGCCTCGGGATCTTCTAATATAGAAATATAATTAGAGTGCTACCAATGGCTTAGTTTCTCTTCATATTATACATGTCATGTTGCTTGTTTCACATTTACTTGTTGTATTTATCATTTAATACAGTTATAAATTTCAATTATAAAAAAAATAATATAAGTTTTATTATTACTACCATTTCATCTAGTCACTGAATGAATGATCTCAGCCAAGCTCCTATATGGTATATTTTTCTCTAAACCTATGTTTAATGTAGTTTCATAAGAATAGCTAGAAAGCGAGGGCGCAATAAATTAAAATATGTGGAAATTTGTGTTTATTTCATAATTAGTTTCATTCAGTATTATGAAATACTGGAAACTAATTTGTCACTGTTAATCATTTTTTCAGAAAAATGTTTTAATTGATTGCTACATTATTTCAAATGTTTTCCACATTGAAAGGGAATAATTAGATACACCCATGGTTGGACTAGAATCTCCTCCCTCAACCCCATATGCCAGGTATAGCGAAGTAGGAGGTAAAAAAAAAAAAGTTGATATTCTGCCTGAGGACTCTGTTCCAAATAAATCATAATCCATCCCAGGCCGGATTCGAACGTGCCAATTCTAACTGGAGAATGCAAAAGCGGAAAAAGTCTTAACATGTTCGGGCGCCACCGCCTTAACCTCTTGATAATAAGCGTTGTTGAAAAATGTCCATGATGAGACAGTTTGTCTATGTCCACTTATATTAAAGCATGTTAAGCTAAATAAAGTAGGATGTTCCGTTATAAATTGTAATAATCAAAAACTATTCAAAATTCCGGAGGCTTGTTCAGTAGTTATTGGTGAAATGATAGCAATTAGAGAAGCTCTTAAACACATAGAGACAAGTGAAACTACCAATTGGGCAGTGGTGACAGACTCTATGAGTTCATTACCTAGCCATTGAACATACCAGGCCCAAAACCACTCTCGCAAAAGATGTAAGAAACGTGTGGGGGCTACTAAGGGAGAAGGGCAAAGAAGTAGTGTTCATTTGGGTCCCTTCCATTGCGGAATCATCGGTAATGAACAAGCCGATCAAGCAGCCAACATGGCAAGAAAGGCAGATATAATATCCGTAAAATCAATTAATGAAATCCCTCTAGAGGATTACGTTAAAAAAATTAAGGAAAATGTGTGGAACATGTGGCAAAACAAGGAGAATCGAAACTAAAAGAAATTAAACCCCACTGTTTAAAATGGGAAACCTCTCACCGACCATCTCAAAAAGAGGAGACAGGTCTTTGCAGACTGGGAATTGGACATTGTGAGTTCTCACACTCATACCTACTAAGAGGACTTGATCCTCCGACCTGCGATGTCCAAAGGACAGTAAAGCACATTATTCAAGACTGCCCTTCATTTGAACCAAGGAAAAAGTTGGACATGGCACAGAGTCTAAAACAAAATCTACAAGACAGTGAAAGTGCAGTCAAAAAAACTTTAAGGTTTTTAAAAGAGATAAAACTCTACAAAGAGTGTAATTTAAAGGCGTTGCCAATGACCCTACAGGGTAGTGGCAACAAAATATCAAATAAATAAAGTATGTTAAACAAAAAAAAAAAAAAGATGATAATAAAATTAATTCTATAAATAACTTCCATTGCCACTCCTAATATAAGTAACTTTTCTTACGGGGAGATGAGTTTCTTTCGATGACTTCTGGGTTGCATTATTTTCAAAATTGTTGGTATTTCTCTTCAATTATCTAGAAACTTCTTTGATATCTCTCAAATTAACTTTATGTATCTTTCTATATGCTCTTAATAAATTAGAATAAAAAAAAAAATTATACAGGTTTATCAACCAATTCTAACCAGAGAAGAGAGGAACACAATTTAAATTTTATTAAACTATTGACTTTTCTTTCATGAGCAGGATGATCCAGAAGAGGATGGTATGATGCAAGATGCACCATTAAATATTTTGAGGTTCTTTTTTTCAGGCTGGTTAATGGACTGTGAGGATGGAAACTATGGTTTTGACATTGGTCAAATAGTTGAAGTAGGCTATCTAAAGACAATACATAGCACACTTTCAAAACAATTTTTTCATTTGAATATTTTATTCTTCAATTACTTTCATTTTCATTATGTCTCTCTTAATACTACTTTTAGTACTTATAATTTTATAAGAAAGGAGATGGTCCGGGGTGGCGGTCATAAATAGACTAAATAGTGGCAAAACTGTTTTATTAAAAGCCAACATTAAAATATTAAGAACAAATTGTACGTTGATGGTTGACTGTCGTGAATAATGAAGAGAAGTATTGTTGGGGTGATCAGTCAGAAATAAAATGGAGAAAATAAATAATATTCATTTTAATGATGTAGAGTTGGTTGACCGTTGATATGATATGAGAAGGAATTAGTCGAGGGTGCGGTCAAAAAAATAAAAAAATTAAAATATATAGGCAAAAATTAAGGCAAAAAATATATTAGGCAAAAATTAAAATTATTTATATATTTTAATTTTTTTATTTTTTTGACCGCACCCTCGACTAATTCCTTCTAATATTCATTTTAACATTTGCCGACATTTCGACCTGAAGTTCAGGACTTTATCAGGGATAAGAAAAGAACCAGATAACAAGGTATGAGAAACATAAATAATGTAGGTAAAAAAAAAAAATTAAAGTAAAATGAAGTGGGTAGAATAACAAGATGACGATAATAAGAATAATAAGATGACGATAACAAGAACTAAATAATAATAACGTCTAAAAAGTGCGGACTAATGAAGTAAACATAATCAAAATAAGATAACATAAGAACTAAAAATGAGAATCTTAGAATAAAATGTAAAACAGAGAAAAGGAATATGAAGTTATATAAGAAATAAAAATAAATAGTAAAATTAAGATATTGTAAATAGAATAGTTGGATAGTAAATTGAGACATTGTCAAGTCTATCAGAATGTACTGACTGCATATAATAGAATAAAGAGTTAAAATAAAGTAAAAAATAAATGAGCACATGTATCAATATATACAAAGTGAAGATGGAAATATGGAAAACAGAATGAAAGGGAGGAAAAAAAAAAAAAAGAAAATTAAAATAAGATAGAAAACCAACCTGTTCAAATAAGATAGAACCCTGTCATAATAATAATAAATATTATTTATTTTTGCCATTTTATTTCTGACTGATCACCCCTACCATACTTCTCTTCATGTGTGCAGAAAGAGAAGAAGAACACCTCCCAAAAAGAAGTAAGTAAATAAAAATTAGAAGAATAAAAATAGAGACTTACAGGTGTGTTCAGCAAGGAGTTTCATTTAGAACTGGAAAAACATCAGTAAGTATTGGGGGAATTTGCTGACCTGGTTGGGAAATGGTGAGGGGCTAAGTATTAAAAGTAAAACAAAACATGGAAAATTACATTATCTAAAATTTTAAGATATGGATGGATACAAGGGAACGTCCTAGCCCTGAAGACCTGCAAAGTCGGGTCGAAACTTTGGTTTTTAATAAAATAATAATAATAAAAGTTAGTTCTGCAATGTATGCATGTAAATGAAGTTATTTCTATATTTATATTTTACTTCTGCCAATTTTATGTTCATACACACTGTACTCTTATCTATAATCTCTCAATTCTATTTTATATGTATATGTATATATTTAATTTAAATAAGCTAAATACTGGTATAACTATTTTATTTAAAGCCAACGTTTTGGTTTTTTTTAGATAATTTATGGTTTTCTTTTCTTTCTCCACATTCCTTTATGTCTATTATTTCATATTATATCCTTTTCTTTCAATCTCTCCTGTAGATTTGTAGAAGTATATTCACATTTTCATTTATTATATATTACAATACAATTGTTAGCATCTATTTACTTCAGTTTAGGATCTTGTTACTCAGCTTACTTTGTTCATATTTTATTGCATTTACTGTTTAATAAGTTTATTCACATTGTTTATAAATTATGTCTAAATATTATGTAACTGCCACAATTCTCTATCTTTTTGTATCTTGTCCGTTCTAGACCTGAAGAAGACCTGCAAAGTCAGGTCGAAACGTCGGCGTTCAATAAAATAGTTATACCACTATTTAGTCTATTTATGACCGCCACCCCGGCTGTTTATGACCATCTCCTTCTTTAATAATACAACGGTCAAATATTAAGTACTCATTATTATAATTTTATTTCGCCAAAATAAAATATATTGTACCTAATATGAAATTTCTAAATGTACCTTAAGGTAGTTTGATCATCAGAAAATAAAACAGAATGACTAATATTCACTCTTCTATTAATTAAACCTAATTTTAAATTAAATAAAGGGAAGGTATGTTGTATCTCTGTGTTTTGAAAATATATGACAATCTAATAATAAGCTCAGATCTAATTATACTAAAAATAAATCAGGTGCTGTGAGTACATCACACAACTTCTTCTTACCATTTTTACTGGAGTAGTTAGTTATTTTCTTATAGAGAGAAGCAAAAGTAAAAAGGATATGTAACTTCCTTTAAAACAAATGATTACCGTGGTTTTCCCACCCTATGAATCTTTTAAATTTCGTCAAATAGCGTTTGCATGACTTTGCACATATGTGTAAGGCTGTATTAAATATTAAACAATACTAATGATTGTAGTGAAAAATCAATCTTTTGGAAAAATTCTGAGTTATATCGGACACATCAATCATAAAACTCGTCAAAAAAAGAAGTTAATATTAGTATATTATAAGGTTTACATTAGTAAATCTTCAACATTTCACATAAAAACCTTTTTAGATTATGGGTAAGTGAATATTTTTAATGATGAATGAACTAATAATATGGAAGCCATGTACAGAGAGGTATCTTTAAAAGGAAGGGATCGGCAAAGATCGGACACTCGAACGTTTTTGTGTAGTTTCCAACCCTTATTTCTCCTTTAGTTACAAATCAATTTTTTTCAATCATTGTATTTAACAATCTTTAATTAATAGTAACAAGAAGAAATTTTGAAAATTCAAAAGCCCTGTCAGATTACATCAATGAAGATAGGACATAGGACTAATTGTACATGGGTATGATAAGTTTGATCAAAATCGTTCGAGTCGTTTTCGAGAAAGTAGTAAAAATATGTAAAATCGATGATATAAAGTGACACTTTTAGCTAGCTGATTTTGATTTAAACATTTTTATAGCATCCGAGGAATTTACAAACCTTAAATCATAATATAAGTTTCATATTACTTTTGTTTTTGAGCTAGTCTGTTTACATATACACGAACACACAGACCATTTTGTGAGACTTTTATATTTGGACTTAGGGTACTATAAAATGGTTATTTCTATTGAAAACTAAGATTCAAATTTTTTTCATGATTGCAATACTTTCTCTTCCTATATATTATATATATTTAGGTAAGTGAAAGTAAAAACAGGATAAAGCATATAATAGTAGTACTTCTAATGAATCATGCATACAAGGATGTACAAGAATTAAGATTGGCCCCAGCCTTTTTATATTAATACTATCGTACTATTACATGCATTCTATGAAATTTTAATTGCTTAAGTAAACTAGAAGGGAATTTAGGGTTATAAAGATTTAACACACAATTTAACAAAAGATTTAATTACATACAAAATATTTATGTAAAAAATTATATATAAATTAAGCTAATCCAAGTTTAGGAGTGATCAACGCCAATGATATCAACATTGCTTCCTCGGTCCTGATCGTCCTCGCTCCCTGACTCGGACAGGTATTCAAGTAGGCGTCAAATAAAAGGGATACATCTTCTACTTCGCCAGGGCAATTAGGATCGTTTTTCAGGGAGAATTCGAGACCTTTCACGCCTCCGAAGACTATAAGGCCGTGTTTGAATCCTGACTCACGTAATTTGTAATTGCTTACAGGTTCACCTCTGTCAGAGGTACCGATGCAATAGTCATATTGACCATAAGGGCCTTCAACGAAGACGTCAGTCAATCGCTCAGCAAGTCTAACTGTATAACCCCAGTAGAGTCCTTGTTGTGCAGTAGGAGCTTGTGGAGTAACAACTTTTCCTCTTATTTTATCACCTTGAGTACTCCTAGATAAACAATTAAGCAATAGGAATAATGTATTAGCTTTAAAGTATTATTGAGTTGAATTGAAACAAAAAACACAGATAAAAGAAAGCAAGATTAGAATAACATTAGGATGTCAACCTATTTTAACATAACAAGATAACACTGATAAAAATGAAATGAGGTTGGTAAGTAAAGAATATATTAACCAACACTTTTAAAATTAAAGTAACTGTCTTCCTTCTCGCCTTTTTGGCTATATGGGGGTTTCTCATACCAGAGGATTAATGTCAGAGTTAAAAGCCCCCGGCACTGGCCCCCCCCTAAGGCACTGGGACGCGAACTCGTATTATTTTATCATTCATAACTTCGGTTATCATGTTGCCGGGCAACGTACAATGCTGTGCAGACACGTTAACGTTAGCCCTCCTGGCCAACCTGCCCCTCAATGATACAGTTAAAATAACTATTAATAATACACTTAAAGTAACTGTTAATAATACACTTGAAGTAACTGTTAGTAATATAGTTTCACAATATAAGTCAATTCTTAACTTTGTAAGTATCCCTCCTCTCTTTATTTAGATTTGTATGTATTTTTTTTTTTTTAAGTTAACTTAATTAAGGGCCGTTTTATTTTATTTTAAGTATTTTATCAGGTTATTCAAGTAATTTTTACTCTAGGACTGTTTTAAGAGAAACACACAAAAATCCTTGTTATACTTAAAATCATTTTTTTTTTTTAAACTATTTCTTAAAATTAGAAATGATATTGAGGTGTACTTTTTTTTCCAGGAATGACCTGAAGATTTTTTTGGCTGTTGATGACCAATTTTCACCAGATTTATTATATCAATAAGTATACAATTTTTTCTGCATTTTTTTAAAATAAAAAAGTTATCATTAGGTTAAAGTAATGTGTAATCTTTACACTTTATTCCTAATTACATCCTTATTTATTAATAAAACTGCAATATAACGTGGTAAGAAGTGCTAAACTTATGACTACTCGCGTAGTCCTCCCAGCTATATAAGTTTTGGAACATAATGTGATTGATCATACCCGCTTTAATTAGATTATTCTATTATCTTTTAAATAAAATCATGATCATTGTGAAGTATATACATATTTTTGTATACATAATATATATATACACACACAAACACGTTTTAGATAACTAATAAAAATTGTGATGAAGCTTTTTTTTATAATCAAAGTTATGGATATGTTCTGGAAGATAAGTAAAAATTATAAATTATTTAGAAGCAACATTTTTGTAAAAGCGTTACGCTCTATGGTGAATATAAGCCAAAAAAAAAAAGGTTTTCCATGTGCGAAAATTTTCATATTTTTCAAACATATAGTCGCGGTCATAAAAATCACATCACCGACTTCTTTTGATTTTGATGTTCATGATGCTGATTCTATTGAATGTTTACTTATTAAGGTTACAACTTTGACAATGTACCTCAATTCAGTTTTAACTAATGTCAGGATAAAAGCTATAATTATGACCTGTATCAAAAACTGTCTTTGTCAGAAAATATTATAATTGTGACGTTATATGAAGTAAAGGAATTTTCATGAGAAATAGTAACGAGGAAAGGGAATCACCAATCAAAGGTAGTCATAGTTTTAGAAAAAAGAAAAAAAAATGTACCATACAGCTAAAGAAACTGAGAGGAGAAAAAAACAACCGAAAAACATGACTGCTTAATGAAATGAAATGAAAATATTTTTTATTATCCTGGAACTGTTGTCCCTTTAGGACAAATTATAGATACAGAGAAAATGCCTGTGTGGCCATACATTAAATTAAATATTTACAATTTTCTTTAAATTAAAATATTGGAAGAAGAATAAAACAAAAACACTAAAAACATACAGATATATATAATAAAAACATGGGAAAATAAAATAACATAAGTAAACAAAATCATTTCTGGGAGAACTTAAAAAGTTCTCTTATCTACTTTTCATGATCAATCGGGTTGGGAAAGGAGTAGATGCTTAAAAAGGAGAGATTTAAATGAGGAAACTGATTGTGCATGTCGGATATTGGGAGAGATAGTATTCCACAAGGAGACAGTTTGAATTATAAAGGATTTGTCAAACGCAGCAGTTCGGTGAGGAGATGGATATAGGTCGGAGGTACGAGATCTAGTGAGACGGGATTGAATGGAATATTTAAATTGTAGGCTATGAAAAATATAGGAAGGTCGCCAAGTTCTGATGGCTTGGTATAGAAACGTAGCAAGGAAGTACAGACGGCGGTCAGATGAATATAGCCACTTCAACTCGGGGTAATACTGGGTTATTTGCGTATCTCTTGAGATTTCGAAAACAATACGTATTGCACAGTTAATTGGGCGTTTAAGTTTGGCCTGGAATTCTCCCTTGAGTCCGCCGTAAACAAAACAGCCATAGTCGAAGTGGGGGAACACAAGGAAGGAAACCAGGAGTTGACGGGATTTATATGGAAGGAGATAGCGGAGATGGCTAAACTGTTACAGGGTAGAGGTAGTACATCGGGAAATTTGGGAGATGTGTGGTTTCCCTGGAAGGGGGTTTGAACAAAGGTAACACCAAGGTTACGGAAGTATGGAATGTGATAGGTGAGTTGTTCAGGAAAAGATTGGGGAGTGTCAGTAAGGAATTTGAGGAGTGAGGGAGTTCCAATCAGGATGGATTTTGTCTTCTCAGTGTTTAGAGTAATTCTATTGTGGTTTGTCCAGGCACAAATTCCGATTATAGCTTCCTGTAATTTTTGGATGGCGTCAGAGGATTCGGTGGATTGAAGGAGAGGTAAATCTGGCATAAAGATGGTATTGACATTGTTGGTACGATTGTTTTTAGAATATCATTTCAAAACTAGCAAATAAATATCCGGAAATCTTACAGTTAGCGATCTGGTAAATAAAATAAAATTTTTACTAGATGATGCGATTTCTATGACTGCGACTGTATATTTTTGACAAATATAGAAGAAAAGATGTATAAAAGAAAACACATGAAATTCATATTATTTCTAACATCAGACAACAATAGGTAAATCCGACCAACCTGTCACAATATAATAATTAAATTTTTACATCCATTCATTCAAGTAGTTTAATAATCCCAAATAATAATTTAATAAAAAAAAATTAAGGAGTTATTTATTACCTTCTCAATTTGACGGTCACTCTTGTTGATTTTGGAAGTAAGCAGTCAATTCTAATTGGTTTTTCAAGACCAACCTCGGCATAGCTTCTGGTTCCAGATTTGGTAACGATTTCAGTAACGACTCCTTCTCTATAAAGTAGGAAAAAAAAAGGCATCATTACCAATAGCCAGAAATACAATTCATAAACCAACATGCAGTTAGAGTCAAAAGTATTCATACATCGGTTATAAAATAAAAAATACTGATATTAACATAAATTATAATATAAAAATTTAAAAAAACAATTTGTGCCTAGTCTAGTAGAGAAAAATTTATATAGAAACGGTCAACTGGTGTTTAATCATGCAAATTAATGAACTTAAAATTATATATATATATATATATAATTTTAAGTCAATATATATATATATATATATATATATATATATATATATATATATATATATATATATATATATTTTGAGTTTGCAAATAAGTCCTTTCAGTTTTTCAGGATGAAATAAAACTCAATGTATTATAGACATAAAATTTATTTTAATCTATAATATACTGGCCATTATTTAATAATACCTTTTTCCCATCTTTCCATCAACTGCATGATGCCATATTCATAGAATGTCTCGAATTTATTGCTAAAAAACTGATCCAAGTGGTTTTTGATGTCCTCTTCCTTTAGGAATTTCTTTCCAATCTGCAGAGACCAGAATAAGTAGTAATCACTTGGAGCTAGATCTGGTGAATAGGGAGGGTGGGGCAAAAGGTCCCATCCAAGGCTCAATAATTTATTGCGAGTGACAAATGAGATATAGGGCCTAGCGATGTCTTGGTAGAACACAACACCCTTCCGATCATTCATAACTCTTCAGGATGTTCTCCAAATTCGATGTTACTATATCCGTTGGAAAGCTGAATTATTGCTCTTCAAAGACGTATGGATGGATTTTTTATTTAATGCCTACAAAATAAATAAATGAAAACTCCTTATAGGTTTTATTTTTTATCTCCATTTGTAATTTGTTTACAAAGGTCCTGTTGAAGTCATTTTATGTAGTTTATGTGGTATCTAAAATCCAACTAAATTTCTTGTTGATACCTAAAGTCGTATTGAAGTTATAATATTCTTTGTGATTTTCAAAAAAAAATCGTGTGAGGGACCCAAACATTAAGCCTGGAAACATAGCTGAGCTTGTGCAAATGGTTTTCTACACTTGTGTGCGATACATTTAGAACCATAGCAATCTCTCGCACTGATTAGGTGAGATTTTGATCAATAATGGCCTTAACATTGGTCGTTTTTATTTCATGTGGGCGACCAGACTGTTGAGCATCATTGATGTCAAAATTTCCTGAATGAAATTTGGCAAAACCAATTTTGGTACATATTTTGTTGTATTATATTAGCACAGTTACCTTTATAAATATAATACAACAAAATATGCTGATAACAAATATTTTCTTCCCTGTTCAAAATGCAATAGCAAACACGATACTAAGTTTCAATAAGCATTAACAGATATAGTTGTTGACATATTACAAACAGGATAAACAATCCACCTTAGGGATTAATTCATCAGGTAAGAAGTGTATTAGAACGACGAAAATAAACAGAAAAACCGAAAGGACTTATTTGCCAACCAAATATATCGGTTTACTGCAAAAAGACATGAAGTGACATTTCATAACCTCAAATAATTAAGAACTTTAATGAAATTTATCTTTGTGAAATCAGAAAATTGTACAATTAGTGTAACTAACTATATATGATAAATAAGAGGATTTTGCATCATTTACATGCACTTAAGGTGTTTTCATATCAATAAATAAGGAAAAAATTAACAAAAACATATTTGAAAGTTAAACCTATATCAAAAATGCACTTAGTGACTTTTTTTTTTGCAATAAACCGACAATTTTTTTTTTCTTTCTCTGTCTTTTAAAGGGAAAGAGCATGACAGGCTATCGACTCATATATGAGTCAACTGTCGCCTGTGCCCATTACCCTCTCGACACATATATGAATCGATTGTCATTGAAAGGATAAAGATGACATAATAGATCAGAGAAAACATGTTAACATTTTAAAATATTTTAATTAGGAAAATTTAATAATAGGGCATTTATTATCTTTTCTCTGTAAACAATAAATACTTTGGTCTAGGAAGTATTGATCCTCATGCCCTTACGCAAAAGTCCCCTCCTGCCACTGAGTTATCGCTTGTTGCAGTTTCTATTTAGTATCCTTAAGTAGTGTAATATGATCCATGAATAAATAGCCTTTGGTAAGAATTGTCCTGTTATCACGCTCCAATCAATGTCCACGGTTTCCTCCTTTTGTATATCTTATGGATCTCATCCATCAGAATTATGAAGAGACGCCAAGCACACAGCTAGGAAAATTAAGATGCGGACCCTCAACATTGTACCGAAATAGATAGCAATCTCACCTTACCGTCAGCCAATCTCTGAGAGATGAAGTCAGAATATGTAACGTTTTTGAAGTGAAAACTTCTTTAGGTGTGTTTTGTGGTGAGTAAATTAGATTGAGCCATGAGATCTCCAAAGTGTAAGACTCGGGTAAAGTCGGCTAGAGTCTTTGCATATGGATTAAAATAACTCAGAAACTAAAAATCGGACCTGCATACTGTTACCGAAAGAAATATTTATCATTTTATCCTTAATTCTTTAAAATTGTATTCTTAACGGGACTCCGTGTTAGGGAGGTGATAATTAAAAATAGTGTCGAAAACCAAATGATAACGACTTTTATTGAAGATATGGATTAAAATATCTCAGAAACTAAAAATCTGACCTGCATACTGTAAGCGAGGGAATCGTTCAGCATTTTATCCTCTTTGTAATGGACTATAATTCAAAATTGTATCTTAACGCGACGCTGTGTTAGTTAGGTGAAAAGGATAAAATAGTGTTGAAAACCAAATGATAAGGAGTTTTATAGAAGATATGGATTAAAATATCTCAGAAACTAGAAATCGGACCTGCATATTGTAAGCGAGGGAATTTTTCAATATTTCATTCTCTCTATAATGGGCTATTATTTATAATTTATATTTCATATTATTAATCTCGCCTTGTTGATAATTTCACTTCTTTCACGTAGTCTAAAGCACACACTTCAGTTTTTTAATTTCCAAAATTTAAAGAGTGTGATTAATAAGTAGTGGAAAAAAATTACAGTGATACAAAACTTAGTTAATTTAATGTCACAGCATCTTGAATGTGTTTTTAAAGTAAGAGGTAGCTCTATTAATTTATTAATATAAGTTTTAATATTTATTTGATATAATAATAATGAAGTGTACGAATCCTTTTGGCTCAAACTGTTCATTGATTATATTAAATTTAAATTTGATTAGTTTAAATTTTAAATTTATTTATATGACAATATTTTATGCAGTTTATATGATCAAAAATATGTTTTTTTAAATTAAATTTTTGATGATAATATAATATGAAAATATTATTTTTAATTATCTCTCCCGAATATGATAGCAATATATTTTTATTTTCTGTCTCACAACTTTTGACCCTGACCATACCTGATTACTATAGCAACCATCCAATCAATGAAGCTAATTTTAGCATAGTAAGACATTCTAATAATAATATATTGAAAAATTGACAATACAATTAAAGAAAATGAATAAAATATCAGATGTATTAGAAGAGACAAAGAATATGGCTTCCACAAACATAGGTAAAAGAATTACTTTTGAAGGTATGTATGAAAGAACAACTTTCTTTAATAATTTTCAATAATTATAATATTCATTACTATAATTTATCTAACTTTATAATAATAGAAGTGAACTCTGTCTGGAATCAAATTGCACAACATGTGAAGAGATGTTTAGAACAAGAGAAAGTAAGTGTTTAATTAAATGAAAAACAAAATGTAAATATATACAGAAATTTACTTTTTCATAAAATGAAGAAGAAAGCGACATTAAAATTACCTTTATACATAATTACTTAATGTTTGTTTCAGAGTATTATAATCAAAGAAGTAGGAACATTCACGTTGAAAAAATGGAAGCTAGATGCAGGCATCCAGCACGAAATTAATTTCTTTCAACCGATCTTTTTCTTATCGAAAACACTCACGGAGCAATATGATCTTCATCAACGGAAAGACTATGCTACTGACAGTGTAATAATAAAAATAAAATTATAACATTATGAGAGAATATTAGAAGAAGAAAAAAAAAAAAATCAATGCATAAAATAACATGATTTCAGATGCCAGTTACTGTAATGAACCTATGTAAAGTTATGAAAACATGTAACTACAAAAAGGAAACTGTTATTTTATGTTTGGATGAAGTAGTTCAGGTGGGTTTTACTGACTTATATAATATAATGTGGTATACAAGGAAGATTTTTAGATTCTATATCCATTTTAAATTATTTTTTCTCAAAGTGTTTAAGGTATTTGATAGCAGAGGGAAAAGATACAAAATTAGAATTTCCTGGACTGGGAGAACTGAAAGTAATAAATACAGTCGTGACATTTAAATTTTATAAAGACATGAAACCGGATAAAAAATTACCCGAAAAGCCTTGTTACAGATATGAAAATACAATGAAACCATATATTAAAAAGGTTGTACACCCTTGTGCTGTTCACGACAGCGCTTATTAAAAAAATATTGAATATTATCAGAACAATATTGTAGAACTTTCAAAATAATCAATGAATAATATTTGTAACAATATTAATAGTCAATAATATTAATGGTTCCTGGTACGATTTAAATGAATTTACCTCTTCCACAATCTTTTTTGATGAATTTTATATCTTATTTTATTTTCAATTACTTCCTATGGTTTCTTTTTACTTTCACTTACTTATACGGATCTGCCTCGTTCCAAAACTCCTTTACTGCTCGCTCTGTTAATTTTTGGAATTCCCTTACTACCAAAATCTGACATTCTTTATCCCTATCTACCTACATTCAAAACCCTCCTATTCCAATAACAGTCAGATACCAGCTAACCTTTTATGTAAAATTACATATTTTTTTTTTCAACAGAAAAACAGATTTTACTGTTAAGAAGAATTTACATTTATTTTTTTTTTTTTTTTGTATTTTTTCTAAAAGGGTTTATTTATATTTTACCATTGTACATAGTTTTAAGTATCTTAGTATGGTTTCGAGAGTTTTGTATATAGATTATTTTATTTTATTTTGTATATATTATGTATAACTAATATATTTTTTTTTTTTTGTTTCTTTACTGATTTACCTTTATCTTTACTTTTTATGTTTGTTTTTATCTGGCCAGATGTAAAATTTTAATTTCTGTACTTTTTTGTTATTCTGAAGGGACTTCGTCCCAGAATAAAATTATTTTCTATTCTATTCTATACAGGATTTTTCAGGGTTAAGTGGCCTAACTGCAAAAATGAACTAAGGACTTCAAAACAAGAAAAAAATTTCCTCAGAAATTCGTCAGCAAACGCTTTGTTTAGGAAATAGTCACACCTTAAGATTTGTTATGAATTATTTACATTATATTAAGTAAATAAAACTTATTTATTTGTTCCAACCGCTTTATTAATGCAACGTTAACATTAAATACATATTAAATGTTGTTTAAAGTGATTTCCTTGAACATTAAGACAGGCTCGGCATCTTTCTTCAACAGCAGCAGTGGCAGAACGGCACTGGATATGTGTTCCTGTTTCACAAGATTCAATTATCCTTCTTCATAAAGAATTGAAGTCATTGACCAGACTTACATAGACTTTTTGTTTAATGTCAAAAACCGTATACAAAAACCATACCGGCATGTTCAACATTAGTATAAATGGAAGGTATAATGATGAATACTCTGCGAAAGCCTCTTACAAACTGATAAAAGTTATTGACAGTTCCCAATGCTAATTCCAAATAGTATTAATCATTATAAAGGAAGGAGATGGTCCGGGGTGGTGGTCATAAATAGGCTAAATAGTGGTAAAACTACTTTATTAAAAGCTGACGCTTCATGTTTTATGTAGTGAAATGCAGGTTTTGAGATGGTTTTTGGTTTCACCAATATAGGAGCTATTATAATTAGGAGTAGAGCAAGGTATCAGGTAAACTACGTTAGATCGGTGTTGTAAAAGTATGGGATCCTTCAAGTTGGTGAAAAGGAAAGAAAGTTTGTTAAGGGACTTAAGGCCAAGACGTACGTAAGTTGGTTAGTCGATTTAAGGAATTTTTGTATATTATCTGAGAGAATAGGAATATTGTATGATCTCTCTTTAATTTTATTTTAAATTTATATTTACACTCTACATCAATGTATGATCATACTTTTTTCACTTTGTATTCATGTTACTTATTAACCACGTCTCAATATTATCTAATATTCAAATGTAATTTTCTTACATATGTACAACCTAATATAATTATTAATTTTTTCCTCTCTATACTTATAAGTTAGTTCTGCAATGTATGTATTTAAATGAAGTTATTTCTATATTTATATTTTACTTCTGCCAATTTTGTGTTTATTCACATTGTACTCTTATCTATAATCTCTCAATTCTATTTAATATGTATATGTATATATTTATAATTACTGTTTCATGGATATAGTATTTTTCCATTGTATCTATCCATATTTTCAAATTTTAGATACTGTAATTTTCTTGGTTTTTCCCCATTACCCAAACAAGTCAGCATCCCCCTATATCTGCCCTTACCCCTGGTTTTCCAGTTCTAAGTGAAACTCCTAGCTGAACACACCTGTAAGTCTCTAATTTTATTCTTCCATTTTATTTAATTTTTGGTTTCCTTTTCTTTCGCCACATTCCTTTATGTCTATTATTTCATATTACATCCTTTTTCCTTTTCTTTCAATCTCTCGTGTAGATCTGTAGAAGCATATTCACATTTGCATTTATTATATATTACACTGCAACAATTGTTAACATCTATTTACTTTAGTTTAAGATCTTGTTACTTAGCTTACTCTGTTCATATTTTAATGTACTTACTGGTTATAATTTCAATAAGCTTATTAACATTGTTTATAATTTTTGTCTAAATATTATGTAACTGCCAAAATTCTCTATCTTTTCGTATCTTGTCCGTTCTAGCCCTGAAGAGGACCTGCAAAGTCAGGTCGAAACGTCGGCTTTAATAAAATAGTTTTACCACTATTTCGTCTATTAATGACCACCCCCCCGGACCATCTCCTTCTTTTATAATGCAACGGTCAACTATTAAATATTCAATATTAATCCTTAGGTTGCCAATAGTTTTTATACAGTTAGGGATAAAAGGCCATATTAGTATTCTATCTAATCCATCTCCTAAGTAAAGAGTTTGCTGATATACTTTCACTTTGAAGAACATTTAATATGAACGTTAATGTTTACATTTAATTAATAAAGAACTTAAAAGGAATAAAAAGATTTTATTTATTGCATATAATGTAAATAATTTCTAACAACGAAAATCTTTAGGTGTGAATATCTCCTAAACAAAGCGTTTGCGGACATTCATTCAGAAATTTTTTTTTTCTTGTTTAGAGGTCCTTAATTCATTTTTGCAGTTTGCCACTCAACTCTGAAACATCCTGTATATGTTTTTCTTTCTTCCATTACAATTGTAAATATTCTTGAGATGATTAGTTTATTATTTTTTTTATTAGTGTTTGCATATTATTATTTAAATCACTGTATGTATTATTGGATTTTTTATTAATTTAGTTTCTTTTAGTTAGCCTACTGTTTATGTTTCAACATAAAAAATTAATTTTTTTCTTTATTTACTTTTGGTATTTTTTCTTTCTTTTTTTTTCTATTACAACTATAAGTACTCTTAAGAAGATTATATTTTTAAGTAATTTTTTAGTAGTTTACAAAATATTATTTAAATTATTGTATATATTATTAGAATTTTTATTAAGTTAGTTTTTGGTTTTTGGTCAGATAAGTTTTTTTTTGTTGTATTTGTTCATTATTGTTATTCTGAGGGAACTTTGTTTAAGAATAAAGTTAATTTTTTTATCTACCAATCTAATCATCTTTACTTCCTGGATCAGAGAAGCAACTGAAAATCAACAGCTGTAATTTACTTAAAGAAATGAAAATTACCATAAATTTAATCATGCTTAGAACATTATAAATAATAATTATATATCACTCTTTTCCACTTCTTGATCAAGAAAAGAGGAAACTCCTAATGTGTCCTTACATGGATCATACTGGAATTATTAAAGTATGTGAGTTAAAGTAAGTTGACAACTGTATTGAGAGATAGTTATTTTATGTTTAATTATTTTCAATATATGGAAGAGAAAAATACTAAGAAAAATATATGGCCCAACCAGAATCGAAAATGTATATAGAATAAAAACTAACACGGAACTTAAAGACCTGTTAATTAGCCTGGAGAGCCAGATTTGGTTTAGAGCGTCAAGTAAGGAAAGATAAGATAGTAGGGACATGTAAATGGAATGGATCAGGAAAGACTCCCAAGGAAGATAATAGAGGGACACATGGGTGCCCATCCCTCATAAGGTCCATGGTGCAAGGACCTATACTCTCTCCTCCCAAGATATTTTATTACTCACCTTTTCTTAAAAACAGTGCAAACATATGTGGAATTAGAAAAATCGAAGATCATAAACAATTACACTTGCTGTAGTCTGTTCCATGGTTTCTCCTTGTCTCTTAGAATGAAACTTTTCATTCTGAAAATTCATGAACTCCCCGAAATATGGCTCCTCAAAAATTCAAAACCGCGTCAAAATATGACCCCTCAAAAATTTTGATGGCACAACTTGCGGGGAGTGACAGAATGGAGAAGAGCTGCAGAAGAATGCTCAGGTTAGAGAATCGTTGAGGAGGTCAAGGCCCTTCATGGACCATAGCCATCAAAATTAGAATGTTGACAACTACCAACTCGGTATTAATCTCTGAAAGACACCTAGAAGATAATTTTTTTTTAGTGTAATTTAAGATAGCTATTATTTCATATTTAAGCTTATTTAAATTAAGGTCGCTAGCTTTTTTTATTTAGATAGCTATACTCCTTATCCGATCGATCTCGGACGGTTGTAATTCAGTACAAACCTCCATCATCTCAGTATGTTCATAAATGGACTTGCTACATTCAGTTTTGGAATTAAAATACCCAGAGTATAGATCATTGAATAAAATTTAATCTTTGAATGAAAAAAACTTGTTTTATTTCACCCTTAAAAAACCAAACACTTATGGATCCACCAAATAGTTATTATAATGAACTTCTCAGATTATCAAAGTATTGACAATATTTGATCCTACCATGCAGGGACCCCGTACTTAGTATTATAGAAATTACCTTAATAGAACTAACCTATAAGGACTTTCATCCATTGCTCGGAGATGATGAGGTGCATCTAGCGGGTTCAATAAACCAACATATTTCAAATCATCACACATAGGAAAGAGGCGCTTTCTGAGGTATTGTGGACATTCCAAATATTGTAATATGTTTCCCATCTGTTCACAACTTTTCCAAGCATTTGTGTTGGTATGGTCTTCTTCATTTTTACAGGGCATGTCATCAAAAATAATTATCTGTAAAAAAAATAATGAATTAATTTTTGTTTGTTGAAAAATATTAAGAAAAAAAATTGCAATTATTACTTCTCTGATATTGTAGATACAAGCAGCTCTTGCTATCTGTCCAGCCAAATAAGATCTGAATTCTTGTGTTTGAGCATTGTCCAGAATGGAACCAGGTAAAGCAATGCTTAATGTGGGTGCAGTCTTCAAGAAAGGCACCGCTCGCGTCATTATGTCAGTCTTTAGTTCTCCATTAGAATTGTTCAATTTAAGTTCTTCATTCTGTTTCTTTAGAGTTTCAAGATATTTTTCGGTCTTCTTCCATTTCTTAATTTTCATAACATTTTTATGTTGACGCCACGATTTAGGTATTATAGGTGGCATTGTGAAGCAAATATAAGATAAATCAAAAAGTAAAATTAAAAGGCACTTACTTCACTGTTAGAAAACGTTTCAAAACAAAGAATTGAATCACTCACGACTCCATAAGACGGCGTAACCTCCATGAAACATCGAGTATTACAAAGAGGCTCAACAAAGAACAACAGGGTTGCCAGGACGAGAAAAAAAGTTACCACTTGAGGGATTTTGAAATTATATTAGTAAGTGAGAAAGATTAATGATTTTAATTGAAAAGTGGTGAAAGTTTAATATTTGATTCTAAAACATTTTTCCGTTTTTTTCTCTTCATAACCTTTGTTTAAAACTTTCTCTAAAGAACGGAGGGGCGTTTTTCTAGATTGAAGAACAATTCCCTTTATTGACAACTGTATGAATAAAGTTCCCAAAAGAACATTTTAAAATGTCTATCATTGTTATTTCTATAGTGCTCTTGAGATCAGTGAGTTTCATATCTTCCTACCAACAGTTGTGTTAATGTTAAGTTTAATGTCCATGTTATTTTATCTTTATCAATATCTGTCACTAGCGCATTCAGGATTTAATTTTGGGAGGGAGGGGGCTTCAGCCCGAAAGCTTTTTTTTCATAAAAATAACGATAATTACTTTAGAAAAACCTATGTGAAATGGTGTTTAAGTGATTCCTAAAGTTCTTTTAAATGTAATTACATGAACAATAATACTTTAAGAGGTATTTTTAAATTTTTTTTTCTCCATAAAACATGGTTATATTTTACCATTGGGAGGCTTTCGAACTGAAGCCTTCCCCGTAGATCCGCCCGTGATATCTGTATAGTTAAATAAAGATTTTAGAATTTTTCTGAGGTACGTGTATTACTGGTACCGACCCCCAAGTGCATTACTACAATAATTCAATTTTGGGGTGTCCATCACTAGTACTAAAAGATGTTCTTTTCAAATGGAGATTATATCTGCATAACTGATTTTTTTTTTCAATTTTAAAGTGTTAAATAAAAAAATAAGATCCTAGAGATTCTAAATGTCCCACGGAGAAGTTTATAACTATAATAATTACGGCATAAGTCGAAAATATCCGTAGCTATGTCCATCACTGGGTGCTTATCCTTGTTTAAGTTTGGTTTTTCATATGACGATTACGCACGTACCTTACATTTATTTATGCAAATTCTTTCTTCTTCCTTAGTACATTTTATTTCCACAGAATAGAAATCTAGCGGTTAACAATTATTTTTCAAGGAAAAGTTGGTCGGGTGAAGGGTCAAAGAAGTACGTTTCGCTTAAGTTCCGACCCATGTAATATATCTTTATCAAGATCCCATTCATCACGTTTGTTACTATTTTGATCGTGCGCCCTAACATGTAATCATGTAAACTATTACCAATTTTTCCTTACATTAGATCTACGGTCAACAATATCCCATACCTTTTCAAATTATTTTCAAGTGTTTAACGAACACAAAATGTCAACAATAAACACCGTATGCCTGTATTAGGGCAAGTTTTTAAACTCAACTTTAATTATATAGATGTATTCCATCAATTGTCGAATCTAGCAGCGATGGACAACGACTTATGTTGTGTTTAGGAACGACTTGATGGATTCCAGCGGAAGATTAACATTCCTGGAAGAATATAAAACACATGGAAAAGTTAAAATCGATACAAAAATACTTTAAGTGCATTAAAATGGCAGCAATCCTTGTATGTATAAAATATAATAAGAATAAACGCACAGTTTTCTGATTTCATAATGAGAAAATTCGTCAAAGTTCTTAATAATTTAAGGTTATGAAATGTTACTTAATGATTGTTTGCAATAAATTGACGATATAAGGAAATACCCACATGGTTGAATTTCAAAACTGAAATAAATATAGATTGAAAATGAATTGGATATAAATAAGTAAAGTAATTAAGAAATAATAACACTGAGGTTACATAAACCTGATCCATTTACCCCAAAAGCTAATAGAACTGTTGAGCCATCGGTGATTTAATTGATGGAGAAAGGAACGTTCTTCCGATGTATTCGATGAGCTGAACGCTGAGTTTAGAAACTTGGCCGACGTAATACCGCGAAACTGGTTGTGTATCAAATAGCATAATACTAAATTTCGTATTTATATGTAATTAAAAGAATTTTTTTTTTAAATTTATTAAGATTGTTTTAATAAAATAAATTTCTATACTCAGATGTATTTTTAAATTCAACCTGCTAGTATATTCATTCAGTATTCAATCTATTTAAATAAAATTTAAAAGAAAACTAATTGTTTTAAAAATATATTTATTTTGAATTAAAATATATTTATTAATCTAAATATTAAATATTAATTATATTCAATAGTAATTAGTATTTATTACAGATTGTTTTATGATAGAGAATATATTTTCGATTTAAAACTCTAAACTTGAATTAATTAATTATAATTATTTTATTAGTAAATTTTGAGAGTTAATTATTTTTATCTAACGATTTAAAATGAATTCAATTATCTATGAGTTTTTTACTTTTATTTATTGGTGTCCAAGACAGTTGGCAGTAAAACTCTTTTCTCTGTCTGACTGGTAATTCAATTTTGAATGAATGTTAATGAAATTATTTTGGTTCCATAATTAAATTTGGAACTCCGTTTTAGTTAGTCCCTAGTGGCGAGTTCTTGAATATGTTAAGTGTTAAATAATCGGGAGTGCTTAATCGTTGTATGTTATAACGAAATTTACCGTTTTCATTTCGTTTTTGGTATTCGATTGTCGTTTCAAAATGGTGGGTCAGCACTTCCAAAAATTATTTCCTATTCATAAATCCTTTTTATTTTCTATTTACCATAAATCAAACCTTCCAACTATCCTTTTTTTTTTATCCATTTCCTATCATTGTATGTTCAAATATTTATTAGATTTATACATACTTGTTAATATATTCATATATTGAAATATGCATCGTTTCCATTTGAAGCCACATAAAGAAATCAATAAAATTTCACTTACAAAAATCATATTTTTACTTTTTCTTTTTTTCTATTTACTTTTAATGTATAGAATCATCATCATACAAGAGTAAAATATAGACATCTAATATACAAGTAAAATACGGAGACAATAAATTAATTTAGTATAATAGCAAGCAAATATAATAGTCATACAGTTGAAAAAACAAAACATGTATTATATAACAAAAAAGGATGAATTGAAATTATCATATAGTTTCTACCATGTAACTGAATAGATTCGAACCTGCAGCCTTTAGCATTGGAAACTCAGTACTCTACCACTGAGCTACCCCACTCCCAGTTTTCTTTGTAAACTTTAAAAATTTGCTTGTTATTAATTATAATCACTAATATAATAGCACACATTTCCTGACTTAATATTCAGAGTCCCTCACTGTTGAAGATTTTGGTACTATATTTGTGTTTTTCTGATTATATAATTATTTATAATAAATCCAAAAAAGGAAAGGATATGTAAATATTAATAAATCATGTAATTTTTTCTTTTATCTACCGTTCCTTCGTTGTTAATAATGTTTTTAACTACTGCTTTCGAGTGTCAAATGCATCATTCTCAAGTGATGAAGGAGTAATCGATCGAGTTGTCTTTAAAAACAAATACCTCTCTATTGTACCCAACTTAGTCTGTTATCCTTTTGCATTTTAGATTGCTGCATTTTAATGCTTGAGAGGTATAATTTTCTTCTAAGTATACAAAAATTTGCTTGGTATTAATTATATAATAATTTATTTATATATATTAAATAAATTATTTAACACATATAAAATATTTATTATAGATTAATTATTAAATAATTTTCGTGAATTCCTCTTAAGAGGATAATTGTATGGTTGTGATTATAAAATTATTTCTAATAGATTTACAAAAGGAAAACATATGTTAATATTAATGTCATGTTCTTTTTCAGAACTAAATTTTCAATGTTAGTGATATTTTTAACTTCTAAAAATGTTATCAAATGTTAAATAAACCATTCTCAAGTGATGAAGGAATATCATACTGAGTTGTCTAATAAAATAACTACCTCTCTATTATACACAAAATAGTTTGTTATCCTTTTTCACTTTATATTGGTGCATTTTAATAATTGAGAGTTGTAGTTTTCTTTGTAACCATGAACAACTATTATATTAATTATATAATAATTAATATAATAGAGTACATTTTCATGATTTCATCTTGACTGACTCCCTCTCTGTTGAAGATTTTTGGTTAAGTAATTGTCTCACGTGTTTGTGATTTTAAAATCATTTCTGAAGTATTTACAAAATGATATAATATTTCTATAATAATAAGCCATATTATCTTCTTTCTGCCTTCCATTTTTAATTGTTAATTTTAATTATCAAGTGTATCAAAAGTAGCAACCTCTAGTAATAAAGGAATGACTTGCTGATTTAAAAATAATAATAATAATAACGCTTTATTTATTCTGGGACGTGTCCCTTTAGAATAATATAGAAAGACAAAAATGTGGACTAAGGAGCCTCAGAGATACATAAACAAAAATATAGAGTAACTAAATAGCCATAATAAAAAAATAATAAAAGAAATTGTAGGTTACGTTGTAATTTAAATCAGTTAATAATAAAAAATAAAAAATTGAAAATAAACATGAAGTAAAAAAAATGAAAAATAATTTATATACATATTTACAGCAGTAACTATTTACAATCTTGTGGGGACTGGATGGATAAGAAATGATTAAACAAGCGGGATTTAAAGGTAGGAAGGGTATTGGATTGACGGATGTGGGGAGAGATGGAGTTTTACAGAATTGAGGATCGCATAATGAACAATCTGTCGAAAGCAGCGGCTCGGTGGGCCCTTATGTATAGATCAGAAGACTGGGAACAAGTATTGCGGGAGCGAACAGAGGATTTGAATTGGAGGAGCTCGGAGATGTATGAAGGTCAATGAGATTGGATGACCTGAAAGAGGAAGGATGCCAGGTAATACTTACGATGGTAGGAAGGATAAAGCCATTTCAACTCTGCATAAAAATGGGAAACAGAGGCGTCTCTTGGGATCCAGAAGATGAATCGTACAAACAATTTATTTAACGTTTTAATTTCGCCTCGAGATCTCCAGAGACGCCTCCATATACCGTACAGCAATATCAAATATGATTTATTTAAAATAATTACCTCTCTATAATTCCCTACTTCGCAGATAGATATCCTTTTGCACTTTAGGTTGGTGTATTTTAATAATTGAGAGCTTTTTTATTTCAGCACTGAAGATTTTCGAGTACTTGAAAACCTTCATTGCTCGAACCATGATCTAATGATGACCCACATGTTTGGGTTGAAACGTCGGCCCTAATAAAAAAAAAATTTATAATGTCTACATCCTGAATATTTTTCACCCATGATACCTAGAACAGTCGATTATCTTCCTTCAATTATAGTTCATAATTAGTGTTGCCCAAATGCGAGACCGAGAAGAGTCTTGGTCTTGCAAACTCAGTCTTGGTCATGGTATTGGTCTTGCGCAAGACTCTCGCTATAGTCTTGCAGTTACTTATTAGCTTATTACTATATAGATATTACTGTATTTTTTTAGATAGGAGAAACCTAACTAAGCCCGAATGAAAAATTAGAGGAATTAAATGCAAAAGTATATTAGTTATATCAATTATTAACATACAGTAACTAAGGTTGTCAAGTATTAGTAACTTTTTTGAATTAATTTTTATTAAAAAGATTGATTTTTTTACCAGTCCTGGTCTTGGTCTTGCAACAGTTAAGCGACCTTGGTCTTGGTCTCGGAAAGTGCAAGACCAAGACCGATTTTGGGCAACACTATTCATAATGCATTCACCAACTGTTTTAAAGTGATGAGGGAATATCATGTTGAGTTGTCTTAAAAAATAAATTTCTCTCTAATGTATCCAACTCAATGTGCTATGCTTTTGCACTTTAGATTGGTGTATTTTAATTCTTGAGAGATCTAGTTTTCTTTGTAAACATCTATAATTAACTCAGTATTGATTATGTAATTATTTATAATTGATATGATAGCACACTTTTCATGACTTCAACTTGACAGACCCCTGCGTTTTTTTTTTCTTTATTTTTTCTGTCTCTCCCCTTCCTTGCCTTTTAGATTACATGGAGTTTTTAACAGTCCGGCGGAGTTATGGTGAGTTAAAAGTCCCACTGGGTAGACATACCCTTCCCTGTTGAAGATATTGATTATATGATTGTATGTTCCTGTTATTAAAGAAAATATGTCTATAAAAATAAGCCATATTATATTTTTTCTCCCAACCACTTTTCTGTTATTAATAATGTTTTAACTTTCAACTGTTGACGTACCAACCTTAAGTAATAAAGAAATATGTTGAGTTGTTTAAAAATATGATATATTTAAAATTAAATATATCTCTACTACGTCCAACTTAGTTTGATATGCACTTAAGGTTGTTGTATTTTAATAAGTGAGAGCTTTGATTATTTTTGTAAAGATCAGAACTTAGCTTGATGTTTGATAAAAAAGACTATAGATTTTCGATATACCACTTCTCATTGTTAAGCAGTAATACTTTATATTTTCACTTTAATATTTTTATAAGTGGTAAGTAAATGAAAAAAAAAATGTAAATACTGTTAGAATGCCTTTATTTAACCAGATTTCCTAAAATAAATTATTCCTATCTTACCTTACCTATATGAAATGCGTTGCCACCCAACTCTTCTGTTATGTTCAACATACTCAAAAACCAGGTTAGATCTATTTCTTAATATTGAATAATTAATAGTTAACCGTTGTATTTTAGAGGAAGGAGACATTCCAGGGTGGCGGTCATAAATAGAATAAAATAGTTTTGCAACAATTTTAGTCTATTTATGATCGCCATCCTGGACCACCTCCTTTCTCTATTTCTTAATATGAATGTTATTATTTTTTTTTTTTTGTTTGCAGGTTTAAATAATGAAATTTCTGACTTTGCTCCTAAACCATCACTTCCTAAACTGTTCACTGGACGAGTAAACTGGGACAAATTTCGTGATGATTTGGAAAACAAACTAGACCTCAAAATCCCGCTAAAGACAAAAGAAGACATCAATTGTGCCATAGAAAAACTGACATCATCAATAACAGACAGTATAAATAATAACACATTTATCAATAAGATTAACTTCCAACAAAATACTAACTTGCCACAGCATATTCGTATCTTATTACAGGAAAAACGCAGAGCAAGATCGAAGTGGCATAGGACTAGATACCCAACAGATAAATCACATTACACCCAACTGACTAACAAACTGAAATCAGCAATAAGAAAATACAAAATTCAAAATTTACTAAATTTTACTGAAAAACTTACAACCACTGACAAATCATTATGGATGACCACCAAAAAACTTCTTAAGTTTCAAGACTTTAATCACCCACTACTTACTGATTCCCAAACCTGGTCCAAATCCGACGAAGAAAAAGCCCAACTATTTGGTCAACATCTCTTCCAAACTTTTAACCCACATCCCGATATCCTTAATTCAACTCACATCAATTGTATTGAGGCAGAACTGGATATTCCTCTCCAAATGTCTCTGCCACCCAAAGCATTTCATCCCATGGAAATATCCAACATCATTCAAAAATTGCCTTCCCGTAAAGCTCCTGGACATGATCTAATTACATCCCAGATCCTAAAACTTCTTCCTCGAAAAGCCATCCTATTCCTTACTTACATATATAATGCTGTACTCCGTTCTACATATTTTCCTGATCCTTGGAAACGATCTATTGTTAAAATGATTCACAAACCCAAAAAACCACCAGAATACCCATCCTCTTACCGTCCTATCTCTCTTTTACCCATCATGGGCAAGATCCTAGAAAAACTCATCTTAAAACGCCTGTACCCTATCCTAAATTCTAAACACATAATCCCAGATCACCAATTTGGTTTCCGAACTTCCCATTCCACTATACAGCAATGTCATCGTGTGGTAGACGTAGTATCCTCTGCATTGGAGCGCGGAATGTACTGTACGGGAGTCTTTCTCGACGTTGAACAGGCGTTTGATAGAGTTTGGCACCCGGGACTGCTGTACAAACTCCGAAAATTCCTACCACCTACATACTTCCTCATTATCCGTTCTTACCTTACTGATAGATACTTTAAAGTAAATCACAATAACGCCTATTCATCCCTTTTTTCCCAGTCCGCTGGTGTTCCTCAAGGTAGTATCCTAGGTCCTATCCTCTATACAGTTTATACAGCTGACATCCCAACCCATCCCAACACTGTCATCACCACATATGCCGATGACACATGTATCCTATCAGTAAACAATGACCCAGCAATTGCATCCCAAATGCTTCAATCACACATCATAAATCTGGAAGAATGGTGTCAAAACTGGAGAATTAAAATAAACTCCAATAAATCCCACCAAATTACCTTTACCCTTCGTCGTAAACCAACGACTTCCTGTCCTACAGTTTCCTTTAACAATACTCCACTTATCCCTGTTGAGCAAATCCGATACCTAGGACTCCACCTGGACAAACGACTAACTTGGAATCCTCATACTAGACTGAAACGACAAGAAACTGCTCGACGTTTCCGATTACTTCAGCACTTACTAGACAAACGCTCTAAACTTCCCATTAATTACAAAAGACTCATATACTTGACTATAATAAGACCTATTTGGACTTACGGAGTTGAGCTATGGGGCTCCACTAAACCATCGAATTCCTCTCGCATCCAATCCTTACAATCCAAAATCCTTCGTAAAATCCTCAATGCTCCTTACTTTGTCACTAATAAAATTATCCATAAAGATCTTAATGTTCCTTATGTTTCAGATCTGGCCCAATCCAGATACCTATCCTTCCATAATAAACTTCAGAATCATCCCAACCCTCTCGTTTCTAACCTTGCTTCCTCTTCAATTCCTGATAACCCTCCGAGGCGTCTGAAAAGAAGATGGCCCCGTGATCTCCTAATGTAGTCATATCATTAGAGTGCTACCATTGGGTAGTTACTCAGCAAGTGTATTCATGTCATTATATCAATTATGTCCAAATTTACTTGATGTATTTATGTAATACAGTTGTAAATGTCATAAAGAAATAAAAAAAATAAAAAAAAATAATGAAATTAAAATAAAGTTTTATTAATAGAATTAAATATGGAGTATTATTTTTTTATTATAGCTTTATTTGATATTTTCTTTGTTGTATGTAAGAATGATTTAGTAGTAATAACATTCAGTTGTTAAATTTGAAAATTTAAATTTTATTAAATATTTTATTTAATTATTAAAATTTTACTGTCACACAACTAATTGGAGGAAATAAGATAGAAGACAAATAATTTAAAAAAAAACAACATACAATTACAACCTAGAGGGTCTTGAGTTCAGTTCTTGTAAGGCAGTTATGTTTCCAAGTCAATGGTTATGCAAGGATATTATAGGCTATACCATGTTCAACTGCCAGTTTCCCCCTCTTAATTATTTATTTAATTAAGAGTACCCACTTCATAGAGGCTGGGTGAACCCCATTAGGGTTTCCTGATCCCAGGGTCGATCCATGGATATAACAGAATAAACAATTACCTGTCATAATCCTGACATAGGAGCACAGTGCCTAACTCACTGAGTGACTATGCTCTTTAATTTTTACAGAAACATTAATAAAAACTCTCCTATAAAAACTATTTTATTTTTACTTTTATTGAGTTAATTTATATTTAAATGTAAAAATATATCAAATGAGGAATATAACAGCATTCATTTGCTTTTCTTTTCTTTTTTTAAAATGTTATCATTAGTCTCCCAGATTATTCTTAATATTTTCAATCCATTCATGTGCATATCCAACACCAGCATATACTCTTGGTTTGTCATTTCTGCAGTCACTACTTGATGACGACGAAACGAAACCACTTAACTCGTAAGTGCTCCCTTTCAAATCAGTAGGGCAGACCAATGGACTTCCCTCATCTCCCTGTAAAATAAGAAGAACATATGAGGAGCTTACTTTAAAGTAGCGCATACTACTTACTTTAAAATTATGCAGAATTGTAAAAAAGTTAAATAAATAGAATTAATCCTAAGACAAGACAAACAAAATAAATGAAAATTAAACACATTATAGGGCTCCATAGTATGTTTATTGAGTCAGTCTAGAATTCAGCACAGTGAAGTTAAAATGAGAATAATAGAGAGAAAAGAAATTAAGGTGAAAAGTTTTTTATTTCTCATTTTTTTTCTTCATATTTCCATCCACACCTGTCAAAAGCTTGACAATAAGCAGATGTACTATAACTAATAAGAAAATTGACATTTTAGGTATGAGGAAAAAATAGTATCCAGCAACACTTCTTCCTTGGTTTATTTCTTTTATTCAGGAAAGGAGATCTCTCATCCAGCTCCTTTTTAGTCGTCTGTTGTGATGTCCGAGTAGTTTAAGATGAAATCTGGATTAGAGATCACGTATGTATATAGTAGATAGTAGTATAGTAGATATAGTAGATATAGTAGGTACGTATTTTCAGTGGCTTGTTCAAAGTCTTTCGTTTCATTTTGACATGTGAGTCTCAGGTCATCCTTCTGTCAAATATTAACCTGAGATAACGTACAGTGTCCCTCTGGGGAATTTGGTTGTCACCAATACAAACTGGTGGGCATGTGTCTCGTCGAAGTGTAAATGTTACATGTTATGATTTGTCATGATTTAATCTAATTTTCTAAAATGAATATCAATTTTGTAAATTTATTAAGTGATTTTGTAAATTCAGTGAGGCTAGTCTGAGCCGTGTTTTTTTGTTAAAATTGTTGTATCGTCAGTGTAAGTAGCAATCAATGTTTCGGAGGTGGTAGGCATATCATGCGTATAGATAATGTAGAGTAAGGAGCCAATATTGATCCCTGAGTTACTCTTGCCAACAGTGGTCGAATTGAGGAAATTTCCAAGCTCTGTCGTACAGAGAAAATCTGTCGAAAAGGAAAGACTGTTTTCTCATTTTAATTCTCTTTTTGTCAAATTTTTTCAGTAATGAAATAAATTTTGCCCCAAAAAAGATCTAAAATGAAATAGTGTCCTTGTTTTTTTATAAAAGAAGATTTTTTTTAGATTATTACATTAAAAAGTAGTGTTAAATTACAGGTGCGTGTTTTGATAAAATGAGAAAGAGAGGAGAAAATATGTGAATTTGCGGAAGAAAAAGAAGAAAAAAAAAAAGCATTTTATATGTAACAAAACAAGTACTACTATAGAGTAGTATTCTATATACGGATATGTTTTAAGGAAGAAAATTTTTAGTAATAATGTTATTTTAATGTTGACTAATGATTTGTTTTTTTTGAAAAAGAAAAAGAATTTTTGAAAATGGCTATGAAAACCTTAAACAATAATAGTTTTTGTAAGTAATGACTGTGAGATTAAATGAAGGTTTTATAAAAAATAATCTTAAACATATTAAATATAATAAAAATTAAAAAATCTCACATAAGATATGAATAACCTAAAGAAGTTTGTTTATCATAAATAAAGATTATATATATCCATAATATTAAAAAATATTACAATACTAGTCCTATTTTCGGTGTTCCAAGATGGTCTCCGGTTTCAAGATCACCCTGGGTATGCTATTCTGCCGAATGTACTCGAGCATTGATAATCTTGATTGCATTCGAAAGAGCTGCCTTGACTTACAACTATTGTTTAGGTGATATATTTTTTAAATCCAACAAGAAGATTCACTGCAGCACAATTGAGCCTATTGTGTGTCGTCCTATACTCAGTAAAACAGAACAGATGCCTTGAAACGAACTTTTGAAGACTAATGGGGCCTATCAATTCGCAGAGCTTGGAGTCAGTGACACGATCACATCCAAAGTGAAAATACCACATTCTGGCCGAATTATCACATGTGCATATAATGTGATAGCCTATTTCATCCTCCAGGCCATACAACCGAATTATCACATGTGCATATAATGTGATAGCCTATTTCATCCTCCAGGCCATGCAACCTGCAGGCAGAGGTCTCATTTACAGGACACTTAAAGAAGTGCTTATTGAGTCGATAGTGACCAGTGGACCGTGCTGTCGCACACCTAATAGTGCTGCTGTCCTGTGAGCACAGCCTACCATTGCCCGGCAACCAGATAAACAGATATTAATATGATAAAAATAATTACAAGTTCGCATCTGGGTGCCAGAGGAGCTTTTAACCCTGGCATTAATCCCCTATCTTCTCCCCTGCCCCAGGAAAACCCACATATAGCTATTTGCATAGCCCGTATATTCACAATTGCATATATTATATTTTATATTATGCTACAACAATTGTTACCATCTATTTACTTCAGTTTAGGATCTTGTTACTTAGTTTACTCTGTTCATACAACTTATTGTTCTTAATATTTTAATGTACTTACTGTTAATAATTTTAATAAGTTTATTCACATTGTTTATAATTTTTATCTAAATATGATGTAACTTCCACAATTCTCCATCTTTTTGTATCTTGTCCGTTCTAGCCCTGAAGCAGACCTGCAAAGTGGGGTCCAAACATTGGCTTTTAGTAAAATAGTTTTGCCACCATTTAGTCTATTTATGACAGCCATCTCGAGCCATCTCCTTTCTTAGTAAGTTTATATAGTTTTTAATAGTGTTATATTATATACAGTATTATATTATAGATAGATAGAAAATAACTTTATTCTGGGACACAGTCCCTTGAGAATAACAAAATTAAAAGATTGCATCTGGCCAAAACAAAATCAATAGAAAAAAAAATAATGTAAAGAAAATATAAGGTAAACATTCTATATACAAAAAAATTAACACTGTGACAAGACACTGAAAGCTATTTACACTGATAGACCAGTATACACTTTTGAGAAAACTGAAAGCTGAATCTGACAATATAAAGTGCCTGATTAATATATAAATACATTATAATTTAAATGTTGATTAATATATAAATACATCATCATCATTTCTTAACGTAACAATAGGCAAGAATTCAGTGGTGTATAAAAGAAAATAGTTATAAACTCCCAATAGATGTGTTCAGTGACATCAAGAGTATAAAATCTTTATCCTGTAAGTAAATTAATATCTCTATCAAAAAATAACACTGATGCTTGACAATGAATGGCATGTAATAAATGTATATTGTCAAATGGTTAGCAACTTTCTGACTGTTTTTGGGAAAGGAATTGGAATAGGAGGGTTTTGAATGTGGATATGGATGGGGAATGTCAAATTTTGATTGGGAGGGAATTCCAGAAATTGACAGAGCGAGCAATAAAGGAGTTTTGGAATGAGGCAGATCTGTGAGAAGGCATGTAAAGGTTGGAAGGTCGAGATCTTGTGGACAGGGAATGGACTGAGGATTTGAACTGGAGTAGGTTGTAGGCATAAGAAGAACAATGGTTGTTGATGATTTGGTAGAGGAACGTACCAAGGAAATATTGTCTTCGGAAGGAGGGAAAAAGCTAGTTTAACTCAGCACAGTAGTGAGAGACATGGGAGTATCTTGGGGCCCCGATCACAAATCTTACACAGCTGTTCATTAGTGTTATTATTGTGTTATTATATATTATAATATACAGTGTTATTAGGTGAATCATTATATTTATTGTAACATTTCTCTTTCCCTCCAAAATCAAACAACGAGTTACTTTTTCAATATACTATTTATTTTAACATATAACATAAATTCTCAGGTTGGGTTCTGACAACTGAACACTCATTCAACATTAAATAACTATAATCTACACTAATTTACTAATTACTAACTACACTTATATATAATTTAAAATAGTTTTATAAAATAATTTGTCCTGATCTACACTTTTGTGGCTCTATCCCTCTGTCAACCTAAATGGCATTGTTAGCACTCACCCGAATGTTTACGCCTGTCACTAGTGGCTTCTATATTTTTCAGACTGGCTAGTACTCCTTTTCTATTTTCTCAGCTTGCTGGCTAGCACCTTCTCTCTTGGCGGCTCATCACCTTCTCTCTTGACAGCTTGTCATATTCTCTCATGACAGCTTGTCACATTCTGCCGTTACATAAGACTTGCTTCCCCCACCATCCGCAAGCACTTCCTCCCCGTAGTTCGTGCTGTTACCACTTTCACGCCACTATTAAAGTGCCATGTAACATTGACATTACATTATTTATGAGATACTGTTTTTTTATTAATAATCACTGATTTATGAATGAACCTAAAAATATTGATTTATTGTAACATTTTAGATTGCCGAGGAGGAGGAAGGAGTTTCCTCGAAATGTACAAATAAATTTTGCAATCAAATACAAATTTTTGATTAATTTATTTATGACCAATAGGAAAATGAACGACAGTAAAATTCTTATAGAAATTATAGTAGTCTATTAAAATAAAACTGAAATCCCCCTCCTTCCCGATAGATATGGAGAAGATACATATAATAGTAAAATATGTATAAGAAAAATAGGCATGATGAAATGATATAATACAGAGAAAATTATGACCGCTGCGAAAGTTCATAGCACCGTAATTATTGCTATTCGTAGTTAATAATCTATCTTTTTATATAATATGGCAGAGTTTTATTTTTTTTTCCCCCTTTTCTAACTCTCAATGGATTTTGATGAATTAGCTATCAAATGAAACGAAGTTTCATGATGAAGTGACAAATTATAGTCACATCTTCCGAAATTTCATGAGAAAAAAGTTATGAATGAAAAGAAACTCTATTTGTAAATAATTTATAAAGTATACATTTTTTTTTGTCAATTTTATTTAGGATTATTTGAAAGACTGCTAAATTTCTTAAAAAAATCACTGAAATCAATTGGAAATTTGTACATTTGAAACAATTTGTACTGAACCTAAGGAGCAAAGTGGGTTAAAATATTTTTTAAGATTTGTATTTAGCACCTTTAAAAACCTTCAAATATGAATTTTAATAGCAACCGAAAAATAAAAATTAAAAAAAACCAGACCCCCGTAAATATATTAATGTGGCGATATATACTAAAAAGGTGTGAGGAGTTTTAATTTATTTATTTCATTTGGAGGTTATGATTATTATGAAAGGTTACTAAATTTCTTATATAAAAAAAATAAAAATAATTATCGAAATAGTACCATTGTTAGGTTGTTGCTAAGATACAGCCTATAGTAATGTACAATTGTTCTGGTTTGTTAATGTGAATGAGCTAATGTTATTCGACTGAGAAAAGTAAAATTATTTTCTTCATCTCAAAATACATTGTATTAACTTTTTATTTATTTATATTTTATGCAATTTACACCTGCGCGGCTGCGCATCAAGCAAATTTGTTGTGTTTATATTTTCTTGGTGCATTTGCTTGTTATGGATTTTATTAGAATAGTAGGTCTCTTGGCCATTTTCTTTTTAATCTTCGTTGCTCAGGTAACAGGGAGGATGAGACAGAAAGAACCAGAGGATTGGAGTGATTTTGGGTTGAAGAATGAAATGTAGTGTATTTGTCGTGGATGTAGGATTTTACTGTTGGGATGTTTAAGTCGTTATATATAGTGGTATTTGAAATGCATTAACTTATTTCTATATTATATTGCCAATTATCCACTAACCGATATACGACTTATTATCATGTCATGTCGCAGTCAAGCATCTATACGAGCACTGGACAATTAGATCTAAGGCTGTTGAGAATTGTGCAGGAATTCTCAATGACTTATCCAGACTTATTAAGGTAGACATTCCATGGGTTCCGGGTCACTCTGGAATTCATGGTAATGAGATGGCGGATGAACTAGCCAGACTAGGCTCACAAAAGATTCCCATAGCTCCTGAACCCATCTGTGGAATCATTCAGTGTCTTTCTGTCCAAAAAGAAGCAACTTACTAATTAATTTGAGCAGGAGCTCACTTAAGAAAATTACAGCGGTATATACTGCACACTGTAAACTGAACTATCATATGTTCAATCTCCAGCTAACAGAGTCGTCTCTTTGTAGGTATTGTAGCTAGGAGGATGAAATAGCTTATCATATCGCTTGTTGGTGCGACAAGTTTGCTGGACTGAGATTCTGACTATTAGTCATTGATTGAGTGATTGATCCCAAGGCAAATGAGAAACGAGCTCATCGACCCAACAAGCTTACTCCAGTTCATTGAGACCGCAGGAATTATGTGCTAAAAATAAAAGGAGTGACTTTAACTGAGGCATACAATAGGTCTTCATGGCCGCGGTGCATTCATGCCACTTGGGGGGAGGGGAGGAAAGTGATCATGGGCTAACTAGTCAGAATATAGTTGCCTCTCTAACGGGACATTGCATCAAAATAGAAAATTTGAATAATAGCTCATTATAAATTGTTGACTATTGATTATAAATTGTTGTTGTGAAATTGATGACTGGACACTAAATGTCAGCCAGCAGTTCAAGTACCTTGGATACTGGCTATCTTCAAAGGGAGGTAGTGAGGTTGACATCGAACATAAAATAAATAATGGGAAAAGAATAATAAGTTCGATAAATTCAACCCTATGGAGTAAAGAAATAAGATTGGAAACTAAAAAGAAGATATACCATTCCTTTGTACAAAGCGTAGCCACTTACGGATCAGAAGTTTGGACAATGACAAAAAAGCTGGAAAACAAGTTGCTTTCCATGGAAATGGATTTCTGGAGAAGAAGCTGTGGCATATCTAGAATCGAGCGGATTCCAAACGCAGCTATTAGAGGCAAGGTCGGATGTCAAAAGAACACCCTTCACCTGATCGGGACCAAATGGTTAAAGTGGTATGGCCACTTAATGCGGATGGATGAGAACCGCTGGCCAAAGAAAATTTATACCTATATGCCACCTGAAAGAAGGAATCGTGGAAGGCCAAAGGAGAAATGGATAGAGGACGTGGAGGAAAGCATGGCAGCCAGAGGGCTTCGTGAGGGAGATTGGATGGACAGGGAGCAGTGGCTTTTGGGTGTTGGGGATATGACTCCTTAAGTTGTATAAAACCCAAATAAAAAAAAAAAGCTCATTATAAAAAGTATGAAATGCTCAACATTTCTCTCACTTACAGTATCAAGCTCCAATTTTTAGTTTCTGATATATTTAAATCCAAATGTAAAAATAAGAAGTTTTCACTTGAGTTAGTTGACTCTATCCGATTTTATCCAAATGAAAGTTACATTGCCGAACGTGATGGCTCTGTCTCATTTACTACTCACAAAAAAAGTGCTAAATGTGGCTAATGAAGTATTTACTTCAAAAATTTTCCTCTTAAAATCGTGTAATTCACAATCAATAGTTAGTGATCAGTAGGCTCGGGAATTTAGGAGTAGCATGCTTGGAGTAGCAAATAGGGACCAGTACCAAATTTATTATTAACTTGTCCTATTTAAACAAAAATTTGATTATTGAAGTAGTTTTTTTTTAAACAGATTTTCTTTACAAAAAAAAAAAATGCTACTTTCATGGAATCACTCATATATTCATTTCCTTACCACACATGTGTCGAAGCCTGATTTTCTACCAGCGCAGACAAAGCTGTCATGTAAGATGTCACTTTGGTCGAATCTGTATTGACGGTATAATGAGGCACACTGACTTCTACTTACAACTTCAATGTCAAATTTCTTGAGAACTGAAGGCCTGTAGTCGCGCTCATCTGTTTGAATCATTTTAATCAAATATAAGCATTGAATACTTCTATGTTTAATTATAAAATAAATATATATTTTTTAAATGGACAGTAACTATTATCAAATTTTATGAAACGAATGAATGAATGAAAAATTAATTTTATTGTGGGACTAACCCACTTAGAATACTAAGAGGATTCATAAAATATATACATTAGTCTGGTATGCAGATATAATACAGATATATACAAAAAAATACAGAGAGAAAAATAAATAAATAAATTTAAAAATAAAATGGCTCTTATCATTTAACTGTTGGTGAGCAATTGTATTTACATAATATAAAAATTCTTATAAGTTGGCAGAAATTTGAATGTGTATTAGGTGGTGGAATACGAATTGTTTGAAGGAATTTTGGTGTTTTAACATATGGATATAGGTAAGGAGTTCCAAAAGGAGGTAACAGGAATGACAAAGGATTTGCTGAACGAAGTTGTTTTATGGTGGGAAATAAATAGACCTATAGGTTGAAATCTGGTTATTAATTTTATGCAAACTAAATGCCATTGCCATCAGCCTAAATATGTCCAAATAACATTATTTTTATTTTGATACAGCCCTTTATTGACATTATGAATTTGTTAAAATTCATATAATTAAATCATTTTCAAAATAATTTTAGTAGATTTAAGAAAATATTAGCCCTCTTTTTTTATTTTTCTACCTATACTAGGTAAGGAAAGTATTGCGATCGGGTTAAATTTCCGAAATGCGGTTTTCGACGGATCTATAGGTTTCAGAGCACCCTAAGTCCTAAAAACACATTTTTAGCCATTGGTCTGTCTGTCTGTCTGTATAAAGATCTGGGGAACAACTGAACCGATTTTGTTGCTTCTTTTTTTATTTTGTTGGGTTTTGACTACAGATGCCTGTGACACAAATTGGGTGCTCCATGGGCAGTAGTGACTGCACAGTAAATGAAAAACATGTTTTTCTATAGATTGTTGCCCAAAAACGGCTCTAAGGATTTTGATGAAACTTTTCTATAATGTTCTAATAATTGTCAAATTTCCGATATGCGGTTTTTGACGCATCTATACGTTTCAGAGTCCCCTAAGTCCGAAAAACACATTTTTAGCCATTGGTCTGTCTGTCTATCTGTGCCAAGATTTTCTCGGGAACTACTGAACCGATTTTGTTGCTTCTTTTTATATTTTGTAAGGTTTTGACTACTGATGCCTGTGACAGAAATTCGGTGCTCTAATAAGGTGCTAAATGAAAAACATGTTTTTCTACAGACTGTAAGGAAAACGGCTCTAACGATTTTGATGAAACTCTCCTATAATGTTCTGATAATTGTCCTTTCAATTTTCGTATATGGACTAAATTCCCGAGAAAATTCAGGAAAAAAAGTTATAAAGAAAAGAAAAATGTTATGGGGTCTAACTCTCTAAGTATATATTATACAGTAAAATTTATAATATAAATTTTGAAAGGTTATATTATAAATAACGCCAATTAGCCTGGTTTTTTGAAAGGTAATGAAATTCCCTACAAAATCGTTCATTTCGGACAACTATTATCGAAGTTACAGTTATTCAATTTCCACTGTAAGATTACGGATTCCTTTCCTGGTGTCAGAAAGGGGTGAATGAGAAAGAAAAAAGATAACTAAGTGAAAGTAAGAAAATCTGTTACCCGCAGCACAAAAGCTTCACTATTTCCTCCACTTTTAAAAGAAATTATTGTGTGACAAAATTAGGCTATGACAAAAAGTTTTTGATCAGTAATATTATTGAGTATTGCGATTTTCACACTGATCTACCTTAAGCCGTTTTACATTGCTTTGGTTTATCTAATAAATCATACTCAAATTTTTTCTTTGATCAATTTTCAGGAAAATTAATGTAATTCAATTTTTTTTTTGTTTCTTAATGGACATATGTGAAGATATAAAAACTTTTCAGAAATAGGTAGGAAAGTCGTGTGAGTGGACACACCAGATTTTTTTTTTTTTTTTTAAACCTCTACATTAAGGACACTTCTCGTTTAAGGAAAAAAATTAGTCATCCTGACCCTCAGGTATCCAGAGGTTTCACTGTACATATAAAGAAAAATAGGTTTATTTTCTTTACTTACTGCAACTTTCTTTTCCCCAACTGCTTAAGGTGCATTTTCCACTGACAATAATTGTTCCAGGTGGCGGGAGACAAATAATGTCAATGTAGTATCCTAAGATGAATGGTGTTTCAAGCTTCAGTATGGCTAAGTCATTCCTTGAGTTTTTGGAATAGAAATTAGGATGAAGTATGATTTCCGCTACGACTCTATCTTGATGCTTTTCAATTTCGTTGTCATCTTGAATGTTCCATTCGCCTGCTCTGGCCATTAGCCTCACTGAGGGATTGTTTTTCATACTATAATACAATAAAAGAAACGTTTCACAACATATCACTGATAATGCTTCTACCAGAGATAAAAACTCTCAGGACACATTTTTAAAAAGTTCCATTTTAACAGTTCCATTTTAACACTTTTTAGGAAAAAGTTCTTAAAATAAAAATTCTAAGGAACGTTTTTCTAATAAAGTTTCAGGTTTATTGTAAAACTTAACTTGTATTTAGGTTCTTAAAAAAAAGTTTAGTTAAATAAAAATTAAACAGCAATTTGATTAGAGTTATAATGTGTTTTAAATGGATTAAACAAGATTCTAATGTATTTTTTTTTTTTAGTAACTATGAATAAAAGTAATTTTTTAAATAGACTTTATAGTGAAATTAACATAACTTTTAAATTAAAGTTCTGAAAGACCTTTACTGAAAATGTTGCAACGGAAAAATTTCTAGTTACAAAAGAACTAAAAACTATCAACAGTAAAAATTCTGGTGATACCAAAAATTTTTAAATTTTTTTTTTCAATCCTTTCTTTTTACACTTCAAAATATTTTATTTTAAATATCAAGTGTAATCTCAAAACATTTCTTATTTGTTTAGTTAGGTTTAATTTATGAATGACATGTCTTAGATTCATTTTTTATTTTGTATCACATTAAATGTAATTTTTATATTTAATTTTTTAAAGAGTAAGCTTTTCGCTTAGATGCACCATTTAGGAGATATAAATGAAAAAAAGATTAAAAGATTGAAAAAATCTGGATTTTATGGCTATAAAATTTTTCTCTTGGTGGCCCATGTATAGAATTTGGGTTTTACATATTCAAACCCTTATATACCAGTTAAGTAAATAATAACTTTCCCCACATGCCCTCTCCCATGGCCCGAGAAGCAAAGGAGCTCCTTATTTGGACTCAGGGAACCTTAAAACTTAGATTTTTGTTTAAAACTGAGGTTCGAAAATTTTCACGATCCCAATACTTACCTTACTATATATTACGTATATAGGTAAGTGAAAGTAAAAAATTAATACCTTTGAGCAAAACTTTCGAAAGAAATGAAAAGGCGAGAAATTGTTTACTATCAAATGGCCCAATTTATATCAATATATATATATAAGTAAACATTATATTAAGTAATCTTTACCTCATGACAGTATGAGCTGACGTTAAAACTATACGCTCGTGTATTAGTGCACCACCACTGAAGTATTCTGTTTTCAGATTTCTTGAAAATAAATCGCTTCGAACGACTATTTTAAATAATGCAATCTGTGGATAATAAACAAATTATACACATCAATAATAATAAAAAATATCTGGTGCGAACAACACACAACTTTCACTTACCACTCTACCTTGGATAGGATATTATTTTCTCGCAATACTGGGCTACTATAAAATTTTTGAAGTGCATTTTAAACGGAGCTAAAACTTAAAGCTTACAGATAACAAATCATCCATTAAAATTACATAAAGTCTATTTATCATATCGACAGTTTTTATATATATTTTAATATATTTGAGTAATGCCATTTTAGTGATATTTCTAGTTGAAAAAATTAAATACAAACAGGCAGTGAGTAAATTGATTCCAGAGTAGGTGATTGCAGTGTTGAAATATAGAACTGTGAATAAAGGTATATATTTTTCCACTAGAAATATCACTAAAATTAATAATAAAGAATGTTGAAATTGGAATTAGTCATTCTGTCAACCTTGTATATTCTTAGAGAGATTTGAAAGTACATGTGAACATTTAACCTATAAATGATTATAGATTGTAGGACTATTAGTTATTGAACTATTATTTTCAATTGTAAAGTTGACTAAAACGAAATGATGAGATTTTCATTGCCTTGCCATGGATAGGTCAAAAGTTTTCACACTAATGGGATTTCACAAAGGGAAAATTCATCAAATTATTCACTAATTTAATTTTCTAAAAGGTTACTTAATGATTTTTTGGAATAAAGGCCAATGGATACCTAATTATTTAATTATAATATCTTATCTAGAGTTAATACTCTATAGTAACTATATTTGAGGTTATAAACATATCCATGAAATATTTTTATATTGCACTTCTTCTTTCACACAAGTACAATGAAATAGTATTTTAAACCATGGCGTTGGCTCGATTCGGTGGCTTTTAAATACTTTTTTTTCAATCTTAGAAAAACATTTAAAAGTTCACATTTAATAAGAAAATTTCATTTAATTTCCTTGGAAACATGTGATTTAGATTAGATAATGTTAGTTTTCGGAAATTATCATTTATATTTTTTTCGTCACTCTCCGTTACCTTCTACAACTTTATTTATTCGATATTATTTTTTCTAAAAGTCTCCGCGTTTCAACGATATATTAGTATACATTCTGACTGGAATTTTCGGAGATTTATTTTCGACCTGTTTATGCATTTTTATTTTTTCCTGTTTTATTCAATTATCAAATTCTTTCAAAAGTTATATTTAGCATTTTTTCGTAACTTTGAATAATTTGAAATGATTAACTATTTAAAATAAACTATATTAAAGGTACTTTAGAGGAAGACGTATATGAACATTGGATATTTAAGTCCTGTAAAGTGGCATCAATGGGGATAAGACCTAATTGATATTAAAGACCACTTAATTATACAACGATACACCGAGTTTAATCAAAATCATTAGAGCCGTTTTTGAGAACATTGTAAAAATGAGCTTCATCGTTGATATAAAGTGGCACTTAGCCGGTTTATCGGTTAGCCGATTTTAAGGAAAAAGTTGCCGTCACAACTAAGGCATATACCTATCTTAAATAAGTGATATCAGTTTCATAGGACTTTTCGTTTTTGAGCTAGACTGCTAACATACAAACACACAGACACACAGACCATTTTTCGGGACTTGGTCATTTCGACTCAGGGTCCCTCAAAATGTGTATTTCCGTTGAAAACTCAGATTCAAAATTTTCATCATCGCAATACTTACCCTTACTAAATATTAAATCTATAGGTAAGTGAAAGTAAAAATTAAAGTGTGTCCTTTAGACCACAGGATATAAGTTAAAACTTCAACAAGGCGAGATTAACAATATGAAATATAAATTATAAATAATAGCTCATTATAAAGAGGATGAAATGCTGAATAATTCCCTCGCTTACAGTATGCAGGCCCGATTTTTACTTTCACTTAAGTATATATGTAATATATAGTAAGGGTAAGTATTGCGAGCGAGAAAATTTTTGAATCTGAGTTTTCAATGGAAATACACGGTTTGAGGTACCCGGAGTCGAAATGACCAAGTCCCGAAAAATGGTCTGTGTGTTTGTATGTTAGCAGTCGGGCTGAAAAAACGAAAAGTAGTACGAAACTGATATTACGTATTTAAGTTAGGTATATGCCTTAGATGTTACGGCAACTTTTTCCTTAAAATCGGCTAACCGGAAGTGCCACTTTATATCAACGCTGAAACTCATTTTCACAATTTTCTCAAAAACGTCTTTAACGATTTTGATTAAACTCGGTGTATCATTGTATAATTAAGTGGTCTTTAATATCAATTAGGTCTTATCCCCATTGATGTCACTTTACAGGGCTTAAATGCCCAATGTTCATATACATCTTCTTCTAAAGTACCTTCAATATGGATTATTTAAATAAAATAACACTCTTTTATCGACAGTAACTTTAAAAAATGGCTAAATATGAAGTTTGAAAAAATATGATAATTGGTAACTGGAGAAAAATAGAAAAATGCTTATCCACGATGAAAATCAATTTCCAGAAATAACAGTCAGAATGTATACGTATAATATATCGTTGGAAAGCGAAGAATTTTAGAAAAAATAATATCAAATAAATAAAGTAAAGTATTTAAAATCCACCAAATCAAGCCCATGCCATTGTTTAAAATACTATTTCATTGTACTTGCGTGTAAGAATATTTCATGGATGTATTTATAACCTTAAATACTTTTGCTGTAGTTTAATAACTTTTGATAAGATATTATATTTAAATAATTAGGTATATATTGGCCATTTATTCCAAAAAACCATCAAGTAACCTTTTAAAAAATTAAATTAGTGAATGATTTGATAAATTTTCCCTTTGTGAAATCCCATTATCCACTTACAATTAGTATGACAACTTTTGACCTATCCATGGCAAGGCAACGAAAATCTCGTTATTTCGTTTTAGTGAACTTTACAATGGAAAATAACAGTTTAATAACTAATAGTCCTAGAATCTATAATCGTTTATAGGTTAAATGTTCACATGTACTTTCAAATCTCTCTAAGAAGGTACGAGCCTTTCGGTTGACAGCACGGGCGGATCTACAGGGGGGGCTTTCGGGCTGAAGCCCCCCTAAAATGGTAAAATATAACCAAGTTTTATCGAAAAAGATATTAAAAAATGATCTCTTAAAACATAATTATTCGTGTAATTACATTTAAAAGGGCTTTAGGAATCACTTAAACACCAGTTCATATAGGTAGTTAGTTTCTTTCTTATTTTCCAAAGTAATTATCATTATTTTTATGAAAAAAAAATCTTTCGGGCTGAAGCCCCCCCCCCCCCAAAATTAAATCCTGGATCCGCTAGTGGTTGACAGAATGACTGATTCCAATTTCAACATTCTTTATTATTTATTTTAGTGATATTTCTAGTGGAAAAATGTATACCTTTATTCACAGTTTTATATTCTATACACAGAAGGGCTCAGATACTGAAGTTGAGTGGTTTATAAAAGGAGATGGAGAAACTAGATTTTTATTTCCTATTGTCGATATGATAAATAGACTTTTATGTAATTTTAATGGACGATTTGTTATCTGTAAGCTTTACCTCCGTTTCAAATTCACTTAAACAATTTTATAATAGCCCAGCATGGCGAAAAAATAATAATATAATAGAAAATAATTTCTATCCAAAATAGAGCGGTAAGTGAAAGTTGTGTGTTGCGCGCACCAGATTTTTATCAGTTATGGGTAGTGTAATGAAAATTTTCTGATGTTTCATATTTATTTTTTGAATGGTGGGATAAGGCTGTTTTTCTCTAACTTTACTGGACTATAATTTGATAACTTTTTTGCTTACTCAAAGTTGAGCCGATAAATGAATAAATGTTATTAAATAAAATTTAATAATAAATAATTATTTTAAAAATACCATCCACGGAAACTCTCCGATAAGTGTACTCGTAGTGCTTCCTATTGCTCTGGCTTCTATAAAATTGTCATTTCTTTTTCCACATTGTGTACGAGGTCTTGGTGGTGTTGGTTCGATAGATTTGTCCTTGCAACAATAAACACTCAAGGGATCGCATCGTGGACTGTGGTATGTGTGGACAACAGAATCAGCCAGCATCAAACCTCTATAGAAAATAAAATGTTTATATCATTGTATATATATATATATATATATATATATATATATATATATATATATATATATATATATATATATATATATACATACATACAAGCAACAACATAGACAATGTAGACAATGGAAAATTTCCCCTGTCGAGGTCTGTGTGTAATCCATAATAAATATTCATTAGATTTATAACTAAAATAAATGAGTAATAATATATCTACAGTATTATTATATATTTATACATCCATTCTAGTAATTTCTCCCTTCACTGTTTTATTGATATTAAATAGAGTTTTAAAAAACAAACATTAATACCTTATAAATTCAATAAATAAGGAATTTAATTTCAACAATAATAATAGCAATCAATTACAATAAATACAAACATTACAATAAATAAACACGATATTGTACCAATGGTTCACTAATTGACTAATTGAGATATTTGTAATGTGGCCTACTGTATATAATTGCTCAAGGCAGTTAGAACCCTTTAAGAAACCAAATAATTCTTCCAGAGAACAAGTCCGCTGTGCAAAACATTTCTCTCTTACCTCGCTGTACATGTGACAAGTTCCTAAAAAGTGAATGATATATACGAATTGTTATGTAAATAAAAAACGTCTGCCAAGTAAGGTCAGTATAGCTTTCTCACCGTTTTCATTTGCTATTAAATTAAATTAAATTTATATTAAAAGATCTACAAATTTTCTTATGAGAATAAAATCTTTGGAAGAAGCCGTTTTCGGAAATTCAGTAATCACTCAACATATACGGGCTTAATATCCACGAGTTTTGTTTATCAACAAATAGTAAAATGCGAAAAAGTTCCGCATTTGCAGATTGCATATTTGATAATTGGTAATTTAAAAAAAAAAAAATAAAAACAGTGCATACTGAATATGTATCTCGGTACTGTTAGTGCAAATGACGTAAGTAAAAATTGAGTGTTTTAGAGGAGAGCAAATAATTAATTATTTCTTTATGATTTATTAGTGTAATTTTGTATTTTATTAGCTTTGTCCGATTTACCCGACAAACAAATTTGTCTATAAAATGGCTCCAATTTAAACTAATTCTGATGATTTTTTTTTCATAATTCAACTTGAACATTCTTAATAATTTGAGTGAATACGCCGTCATTCTTAATCATCAGAAACAGTCTGAGTTGAACTTATAAAACTAAAATTGACTTAATCTCCGCTTTCTGAAAATGACAGAATTCCGTCCTTTTATATGAAGCCACTCATATATTTTCATATTTAATTTTATTGTTATTTTTTTTTAATCTATATAAATAAAATAAAGATTTTGTCTGTACATTGAATAGAATCAACTCGTTTTATGATATCTTTCCGTTTCATTGCAGACACCAAATCCACTTTTAAAAAAATTTTTGTCTGTCTGTATGTCCTCATTGAAACGAAATTTTGTCAGGGGTAAGCTCAGCAATGGCTTATTGTAGACTTTTGAAATTTTATCATTATATTAAGGTTTGCTTGACTTAAAACATAGGCTTTAAATGAAAACAAAATATCGAGTATAATCAATGTTATGAATTCTTGAGTAATTTGTCTAGAGATCTCGGTTAATAATAATAATAATAAATGTTAATAACAAATATATAATTTAATAAGTTAATAATCTACATATGTTTATAGGTTGAAGAACATCTATATAAATAAAATAAAGGTTTTGTCTGTATGTTGAATAGAATCAACCCGTTTCATGATATCTTTCCGTTGTATACATTACAGACACCAAATCCACTTTTAAAAATTTGTTGTCTGTCTGGATGTACGCATTGTCCAACGAAGTTTTGTCAGAGGTAAGCTCGGCAATGGCCAATGGTAGACTTTTGAAATTTTGACATTGCCTTTAGGTTTGCTTGACTTAAAATATAGGCTTTAAATGAAAATAAAAGATTGAGTAGAACCAAAGTTATGAATTCTTAAGTAATTTGTTTAGAGATAACGGTTAGGCAGTTGCTTCAATTCTCATCCCAACCTACTCTACTGCGAGCAACATTTAACAGTTGTACTACTCAACTGATGGAAAAAAATATACCGAAGATCTGTAACGCGTTGTTACATAAAACGGGTAAAACACACTCATTTTTCAACTTTGTCCGATTTTCCCGTTGAAGGTGTCATTCAATTCAACATCCCGAGCCTAACAAATTTTGTCCTATACATTTTCAGGATTAACCAAACAGATTAGCCGGAAATCAGGAAAAAAAAATCCAGTACACAGCAGAATTTAAAGAAGTGGAGAGACTATAACTCTTTTTTAATTATTAATCGACTCCACAATCATCTCGCTTCATCATAAATGAAAATTAAACATTTAACAAATTTAAATCGATCGGTAGTGGTCGGTTTAGTTTAGTGGTTAAACAAATAGCCGAATAACGAAGTTTTGTTATGACTATTGCGCAAACTTGACTTCCATAAGCCCCCGCCATAAGAAAATTCAAAACCACCCCCCTCCCCCTGCCAACCAAATTTTATGAAATTGAATTTGGAGCCTCCCCTCCCCATAATACAAAATCCATCTCAAAAAAAGATTCTCAAATTTTAACTATACACTCGTCAACGATGGGTACATCAGCTAGTATTTAATGTATTGTTTAAAGTTCAACTTTATGTTGATCATTTTATGACAAATAAAAATGTAAATGTTTGGTTGTTTAAACTCTCGAATCTCAGAAAGTTCTTCACCCATCAGTCTCCTGTTTTTCACTTTCACTTACGTATATATGTAATATATAGTAAGTGTAAGTATTTCGATCGAGAAAATTTTTGAATCTGAGTTTTCGACGGATTTATACGTTTTGAGGTACCCTGAGTCGAAATAACCAAATCCCGAAAAATGGTCTGTGTGTCTGTGTGTTTGTATGTTAGCAGTCTAGCTCAAAAACGAAAAGTCCTATGAAACTGATATCACTTATTTAAGATAGATATATGCCTTAGTTGGGACGCCAACTTTTTCCTTAAAATCGGCTAACCGGAAGTGCCACTTTATATCAACGCTGAAACACATTTTATAATTTTCTCAAAAACGGCTCTGACGATTTTGATTAAACTCGGTGTATCATTGTATAATTAAGTGGTCTTTAATATCAATTAGGTCTTATCCCCATTGATGTCACTTTACAGGGCTTAAATGCCTAATGTTCATATACGTCTTCCTCTAAAGTACCTTTAATATGGTTTATTTTAAAAAGTTAATTATTTCACATTATTCAGAGTTACGAACAAATGCTAAATATAACTTTTGAAAGAATTTGATAAGTTAATAAAGGAGAAACAAAAATAAAAATGCAGAAAAACGTAGCTATAAACTGTAAATCTTTTTACGTCTTTAGAAAGTATTTTTTACACCAGATTTTTTTTTAATCATTAGTAATATGCTAAAAAAATAGCATTACTACAGTAACACATTCAAAATTTAAAAACCAAACTAAAGGATATAACATTTGGAGTAGAACATATAAAAAAAATCTGGTGCGCGCAACACACAACTTTCACTTACTCTTTGAACTTTGAATAAAAATTATTTTCTGGCCATGTTAGGCTATTATAAAATGTTTTAAATTTCATTTTAATCTGAGCTAAAGCTAACAAATCACAAATGCTATTAAAATAACAAAAGTCCTATTTATTATATCACCGGTTGATTATGGATTGTACGATTCGTTGATTATGGATTGATCGATCCATTGATTATGGATTGTACGACTATAAGTCATTAAACTGTTATTTTCCATTGCAAAGTTTATTAAAACGGAATTAGGAGATTTGCAATGTCTGTCATAGACAGGTCAAAAGTTGTCACACTAATTGTAAGTGGATTCTGTTGGAATATCGCAAAAAGAAAAATTCATCAATTTATTCACTAATTTAATTTTCTAAAAAATTACATGATGATTTTTCGGAATAAACGGACGATAGATATCTAAATATTTAAATATATTATGAGATCTAGAGTTATTAAACTACAGTAAATATATTTAGGGTTATAAACGTATCTATGAAATATTTTTGTATTTCACTTCTTTTTTCACACAAGTACAATGAAATGGTAGTAGAATATCACAAAGGGAAGATCTGTCGAATTATTCACTAATTTAGTTTTCTAAAAAGTTATATGACAATATTTTGGAATAACTTTAATACCTAATTATTTAGAGAGAAATACTTTATTAAAAGTAATGCTGCCCTACTACATAGGGTTGCTTCGTACACAGCATACTTATCAATCCATACGGGCATTAATTTTATATTATATTTTTCTTTCTTTTTTCTCCCCCTTCATAACAATACTCTTACAAATTATCAACAATAAACCATATTAAATAATAGACATAGCATAATAAACACTTTCCCAAAATAAAAATAAAAATTCCTTTTTTCTCTTTAAATTCTCAAACGCCAGGAACGCAATATAACATCGCACTCATATATAACACAGCAATTCCTTGAATGTAGCCAAAAAGATAAGACGATTGTGGGCCAATTTAAAATTTAATAAATAATTACTAAACTACAGTAAATGTATTTAATATTATAAACACATGATTTATACAACCATGAAATGATTTTATATTTTATTTCTTCTTTCACACAAGTACACTGAAATAGTTTTTTAACAATGCCATTAACTTGCTTAGGTGGATTTTAAGGGAAAAGTTGCCGACACATCTAAGGCATATACCTATCTTAAATACGTAATATCAGTTTAGTACAACTTTTAGTTTTTGAGCTAGACTGCTAACATACAAACACACAGACACATATACCATTTTTCGGGACTCGGTCATTTCGACTCAGGGTACCTCAAAACGTATAAATCCGTCGAAAACTCAGATTCAAAAATTTTCTCGATCGCAATACTTACACTTACTATATATGACATATATACGTAAGTGAAAGTAAAAATTTTTTAGTCCAATAATTGGAATCACCTTTTATCTATTTTTCTTTGTAACTAGGAAGGTAAGGTTACTTTAGATGTATAATTGTTTGGAAATAATAAACCATTGTAGAATAATTTCCAGCGGTTTGTTTTTTCTAACCCACCAAAATGTTTATTTAATCAGTTTACAAATATAGTATTAAATTACATAACAATATGATATATACAATTAACAAATTCCTTCCACTGCCCGAGGGCATTTTAAGGATTGGGGATAGGGTAACTAAGGGTAACATATGTGTAACTAAGGGTAACATATGTAGCAGAAGGGACCGTTTTGCTAATTATTTATTATTTCAAATATATACACATTAATGAATTTGGACCCTCAGAGTCCAGACCACATCCTTCGGCGAGTGTGTCCACCAAAGGGAGTTTACCTCGCCACCTCCCAGGTCTGGATGGTGGTGAGATCTCATTGAACAGTGGGTTTGCACAGGTCTTCGGCCCATTACCCGATCCAAAGCCTTCGCTGTCAGTTTCGTGAATCCTCTTCCCACTTTTATCTTCGGAGGCCTCAGGCTCTGGAATCTCCATAGGAAGGTTCTCATCCTGGTTCGCCATCACGAATGGAGGAAGGAAGGAAGACCGCTATTAAGGAAGTTAATAGTGGTCTCACGTCACTATCAAAGATAGTAACGCCAAAAAAATAATATCTACGAGATTTTGAAGTAAGTTAGTTGACTGTTCTACACATCTTGGGTGATAAATATTCAGGACGCAATCTTTTTTAAAATTTGTTTATTTTTGCCAACGTTTCAACCCAAACATGTGGGTCATCTTCAGGGCTGAAAATGTTTTTTAAAATTACAATCAGAGATATAATAATATACGACCGCTAATTATAAATAATAAACTATAGTGATTAATAGCACATGAATCTTAACTAATATTGTAATAATAATAATAATAATAATAAAAGGCTTAGCGAACCCGAAGGTTCGATGCCGACACCACCAATCGCTTATTACACACCTCCCTCCACCGTTCGCCGTCCAAACCCAGTCCCTTCAGATCAGCTTTAATGCAATCTTCCCACCTTCGCTTCGGTCTACCCCTCGGACGCTTACCATTCGGCACAGCAAATATTAACCTTTTAGGAATTCTCTCGTTACTAAGTCCAACAACTTTACAAGCCCATTTGATTTGCCGCGATGAAATCATCTCAATTATATTACTCGGATACAGTTCACGCAATTCGGCGTTGTGTAACCGTCTGAACATTCCGGTTAACTCATGCTTCTTCGGTCCGAATATTCTACGCAATACTTTATTTTCAAAAACCTTAAGACGCTGCTCATCCCTTAATGTAAGCGGCCAAGTTTCGCATCCATAAAGAACTGTAGGCAAGATAATTGTTTTATAGATTCTAATTTTTAAGTTCCGGGACAAGAGGCGCGAACTAAGAGGTTTTGTCACAGAAAAATAACAGGCATTTCCCGCCTTCAGTCTAACCTTAATCTCTTCTTCAATTTCGTTTTTTCTAGTTATCGTAGAACCTAGATACCTAAATTTATCTACCTGTTCAAACATATTACCATCTATATCGATATCACCAGTAGTATCGCCATTTTTGCAGCTAACCATATATTTTGTTTTATCCACGTTTATTTCGAGTCCTAGTTCTTACCGGCTTTCATTAACGTTGTCGTATTTAGTTTTATAGTTTCAACGTCTTCGCTTAACAGTACCAGATCATCAGCATAGCCCAGCACGGATGTTGTCCCACCCAGATCCAACCCTTTCTCGGTACGCATTACCTCCCTAATGGCATGTTCTAATGCCAAATTGAACAGGACAGGAGAAAGGGAATCCCCCTGTTTTAAACCCGAGCGAACCTCAAATTTTTCGGACAGATTAATACCGATTCTAACTTTATTGAGTGTTTCCGTCCACTAGCGGATCCAGGATTTAATTTTGGGGGGGGGCTTCAGCCCGAAAACTTTTTTATTCATAAAAGTAACGATAATTACTTAGGAAAATAAGAAAGAAACTAAGTACCTATATGAACAGGTGTTTAAGCGATTCCCAAAGCCCTTTTGAATGTAATTACACGAATAATTATCCTTTAAGAGATAATTTTTTAATATTTTTTTCGATAAAACATGGTTATATTTTACCATTTGGGGGGGGGGGGGGCTTCAGCCCGAAAGCCCCCCCCCCGTAGATCCGCCCGTGTTTCCGTCAAGCACATCCTGACTAGATTTACTAGTTTCTTTTGAATCCCCTGCTCGATTAGAATATTATAAAGTTTTTGGCGGTCAATAGAATCGTAAGCCTTTTTAAAATCTATATACAGGTGGTGAACAATACCTTTGTACTCCAATTGTTTCTCTAATATTTGCCGTAAAGAAAATATTTGATCAATAGTTGAACGATTCCGTCTAAATCCGCATTGGTAGTCTCCGATAATTTCCTCGGCGTATTCCGTGATTCGACTGGTTAAGATTAAAGTGAATATTTTATAACATACCGGAAGGAGTGAAATTCCTCGATAGTTATTACAATCCGTCCTCGGACCCTTTTTGTGAATCGGAATAAGAATAGATTCTTTCCATTCTTCAGGTAATTTCTCGTTCACCCAGATCTTTTTAACCAACCGATGTATTTTAGAAACTCCAGCTTCCCCGCATGCCTTAATTAGTTCAGTAGGAATATTATCGATTCCCGCTGCTTTATATGATTTTAATTTTCCGATAGCTACTTCAACTTCCTCTTTACTTGGTCCTTCTATTAACGGTTCAGCACTCTGGTACTCAGATGGAGGACACAGATCATAATTTCCCGTATTTAAAATATTGTCAAAGTGGTCCTTAAACTTATTCAATATGTCAACCGGATCGGTCAGAATATTGTTATTATCATCTCTAATTCCAGCCGTTACGGGCCCTACATATTTACGTGATCTGTTTATACCTTTGTACATGTCTCTTACGTTATTTTCGATTCTATTAGTTTCTATTTCAATTATTTTATTTTTAAGATACTCCCTTTTTTTTATTTTTGAGCAATTTTGTCGTTTCGTTCTTTGAGGTTCGGAAGTATTCCAGATTGTCTTCGCTAGGATTATTTAGAGCTTTAATATTGTAATACACATATTAAAATTAAATATTAAAATAGTTATACAAACTAAAACTAAAAAATAGAAAAAATCCACCCCTGACCGTTTTACTTACCTACCAAACATGTGTCAGTACTTGAACCACGGTTAGTAAGAGAAAATATTACAAATTTGTATAAATGGATTATATACATTATTATTTTTTTCTTTCTATTTTTTAGTTTTAGTTTGTATAACTATTTTAATATTTAATTTTAATATGTATTACAATATGGAAAATTCGACTTAATCATGACTAATCCAAACATATAACATTTACTCTACGAAAAAACACCTGTCCTCCAGTTTATATTGACAACAATCAAATTTCTCAAACAGACACGGTACTTTACCTTGGACTCACCTTCGACAGAAGGATGACATGGGGCCCACATGTTAAAATGAAACGTATGACACTTAACAAACGATTCAAACTACTTTACTCTCTTTTTGCCAAATCTTCAAAACTAAAACTAAAACAGAAACTGAATACATATACATACTTACTTAAGCCCATATGGACATACTCATCACAAATATACGGCATCGCTAAAAAGACCCACCTACAAAAACTTCAAACGTTCCAATCAAAATTATTGCGACTCATAACAAAAGCACCTTGGTACGTGACTAACAAAACTCTACATACTGACCTCCACTTTCCAACAGTTGACCAACATATAACGACCCTATATCAACGATTTTACACAAATTTAAATGGACATAATAACAGACTTATAAGAGACATGGCCTCAGCAGACATACCTCAGAACATGAGGAGGAGACTAAAAAGGCGTTGGATGAGGGATCTCCTTCCTTAGACAACCTAAGTAATTGGAACAAGTTAGGAAAGAGGTACTGCTGAGTACTTTCCTTCCCCATGCCTGTCATGTCATTATATCATTATCGCCATCACATTTGCTGATTGTCAACTTATTGTTAACAGGCGCAAATATATATTTTATAGACAAAAAAAAAAAAATTATCTTAATACGTTAAATAAAATTTGTGGGAGGATCAAATTTTTGCTTTCTTCTTTTATCACAAAGGTTCATAATTGTAAATAATAAACCAAATTACATAAATAAATTAATCACCTTGGTTCTATTACTGGTCCTCCATCAGTTATGATTTTCTCGTTTTCACACAGATAATATGGCACACATTTGCATTCTTTGGTTTCATTTTCGTAAGAACTGTTGTATCCTTCAATCCCTGTTCGACAAAGAGCCAAGATCACCAGGATGTTCTGTATGAATCTTCTTAGAATCATCTTTTCAAACCTTGGAATATCCTTCGAAGGAATTTATGGAATGTAACGAAGGATTTTCCTAAAAATGATATTAGTTATAAGATAATTCGAAAATAATTAAGACCATTCCCTAACTAGAGTTAAAATATTTATATCTGTAATTTCTTCTGTAATATCTGTAATTTAATGACGAGGGAGATAAAACAGCTTTTTCACGAAAAAAAACAAAACAAAAAAAACAATTGTTTTAATTTATGCCGAGGCACAGTGTGGCCGATTGCGAACCTAGCGGGACAAAAAAAGTTGGGGGCGGGATAGTTGAGCCTGATACAAAGTTCGAGGTAGAAGAATAATTACAAGTGCAAATTACAGTGCCCAGTGGTACTTTTAACTTGGCATAATTACTTAGGTATCTATCATCCGTTTATTCCGAAAAATCATCCAAAAATCATCATGAAAAGTTTTAGAAAATTAAATTAGTGAATAATTTGATGAATTTTCCATTTGTGATATCCCAACATTATCTACTTACAATTAATGTGACAACTTTTGACCTGTCTATGACAGGCAATACAAATATGGTAATTCCGTTTTAGTAAACTCTGCAATGGAAAATAATAGTTTAATAACTAATAGTCGTATGATCCATAATCAACCAGTAATATAATAAATAGGTTTTTTGTTATTTTAATAGTATTAATGATTTGTTACTTGTAAGCTTTAAGCTGTAGCGCGGTTAAAAATGCACTTAAAAATGTTTATAATAGCTCAACATTACCAGATTATAATTTCTATTCAAAGTTGAGCGGTAAGTGAAAGTTGTGTGTTCATGCACTAGATTTTTCCATTTATAATATTAAATAAAATTGATTTATCAACTATTTCAGAAAGATATGATAGCTGAGTTATCAGTTAAACAAAACAATTGTTCTCTATAATCTTTTCTTGTTTAATATGATATGACAAAATTAAGTTATTATTCTAAAAGATAATATGAATAAATGGATTTGGTACTTATGAGTATGATGTGGTGTGAGGGACCCTCTCTTCACTGATTCTTCCCTCTTTAGATATAGGTTTCAAAGATTGTGATAACTTTTAATGATCAATTTTTTTGCAGCCATTTTTTTATTCACAGATAGGCAATCTATAAAGATATTATCAATTTCTTTACTATAATCAGTTTTATTTATAGAAAGAAATTTTTTTTTTCTTATTGGTAGATTATGTCATCAGTTTATTGTAAAAAGACAAACAGTACATTTTTGATGGAGCTAAACTAATGTTTGGTGAATTTAAATTAATTTGAAATTGTATTTAGATATTAACTAGTTGGTCTGTGCGAATAATTCACAGACAATTTTGTTTAGTGAAGGAATAGCAAAACGATATGGCAATAAGTAATTCCTTAGTATTTTGTGAGGGAATAATTAATGGTTTTTCCTTGGTGAATTGCAATATTCCATTTAACATAATGAACCAAAATATTTGTACAAATTCCTTTTTATTTATTTTAAAGCCTCAATCATGGGATTTTCTAAATTATTAAAAAATATAAAATAAGGAGAAAAAAATGCCTTCTGATCTTTGTACCCCTTTCCAAAAATCTGCCTCATTTCAACATTACTTTATTGTCTGCTCCACCACATTTTGGAATTCCATCCCACTCAAAATCCACCATGCACCGTCCTTATCCATATTTAAAACCCTCTTATTCCAATTCCTCCTTACAATTTAATCAGACGCTGGGTAATTATTTATTATGTAACAAGGTTTCATTTTTATTTATACATCATTTATATATATATATATATATATATATATATATATATATATATATATATATATATATATATATATATATATATATATATATATATATTATATTTATATATATATTTTATGAGTATGGAAAAGATTCCCAGTCACTTTTCACTGAGAATTGTTTTTTTTATTTTTTTCTATTGATAAGATTTTAAGTCTTTGAAATGTATTTAATTGTCTACTAATATTGAACGCACTCCTCTATATGTACGTATATTATCTTTTTTTTTTTCTTTTGTTTTCTCCTCTCAATCTACATCTTAGGATATAGATTATATAAGGCTTTTCTAATATTTACAATGCTATTCTAAGTATTCATTTGAACATATTAAGGTACAGATGTAAATCATTTATAGTAAATATTTATCTACTCTTTTATTACTATTTTTTTCATTACTACAATGGTTTGACAACAAAAGTAATTTATCGTTCTTTTCCAATTTCATCTACTTATTTCATACTTTGCTGTTTGTAGCAACTATTTTGCAGTATTGTGATCTTATTTCTCATCTTTTTTTTTTTTATTTCTTTAATATATCTTTATATCTATGTAAATACTTCTCTTTTACTTATGTTTTAGTTATTATTTTATTGTAATATGTATTTTGGCCAGATGTTATCATATTTTTTACGATCAATATTGTTATTCTTGAGGGTCTGTTTCCTAGAATAAAGTTGATTCTTCTATTCTATTGTACTACATCCTAAAACAACTTTAACTAATTATAACAAGTAACTACCATAAATGACTATTGGTATATTTATTTATGCTTACCTTTAATATTTGTTTTATGATTATTAATTTCATGCCAGAAAAATAAAACTGAAGATTTTCATTATTGTTAGGTAACTAATGCTTCAGTATTTTTAAATTATTATTAATATATTTCATTTCTTTTAAATTTCTTTGTATATGATAATTTTCAATAAGTTCAAGCTGCAGTTCCTAAGGTAATTTAAGCTCAATTTTTTTAAAATTATGAAATCTTTTTGTGACATGCTCCAAACATCTAGATGATCCCTAACCTTAGCAGAAATACTTACAGGATGTTCCTAACAAGGGGAAATGACAAAAGTTGCCTCCTTGCCTTGCAAATAAACTTGTTTTTACATTATTTCAAATTTTATGTACAACCTCCATCCTTGTCTCATATTATGTTGAAATTTAATCTCACATTAAATATCTCGAATTCAGCAGCTGCAAACACAATCTCATTTCTTTACTCCTCACATCTTAATAAAAAAATAAATAAAAAAATCATAAGAAATTTCTCTTTTGTCATAAGAGATTTTACTCTCTTAGCAGGCTAGTATTTGCCCACCTCTGATCTATATTAAGTTGAAAATGAGATGTAAGATTTCTTTAGCGCCCTCTATGATAAATCATTTTTTTTTCTTTTTCTTTTTGTCTTTAAGACCTATAAAAGCAGGTCCTATTTGGCAATAAAATATTTTAATTGTCATTGTGAGATGAAATTGCACTGGATATTCATTGAATATATCTAGATAGATGATCACTGAATGCAATTAAATATTGAATATAATCCATCCTCTTGAACTATATTGAGCAGTTTGAGAGTGTGAAGTTTATAGAGCCTTCTCCAGCTCTGCCGGTCTTCAACAAGACGCCTTCTATCATTTCATTGAAGTCCTCTTCTCTGGAAGGCGCTCTTCATTTCATCTAGCCATTTCTTTCTAGTCTATACTCTTCCTCTCTTTCCCTCTACTTTGGCTCAATAGGCTTTACTAGCTATCCTTTTCGGTTCCATTCGCAGAAGATGTCCTAGCTATCTCAGTCGATTCTCTTCTATCACATCATTGGCTGACTTGATGATGGTGTTGCATGCTTTGTCTCTTCTTGTTTTCCCCTCAATCTTTCTGAGGAATCTCATTTCTGATGCTTGTATTGTTGATTGATGTTCCTTTAGTGCCCTCTATGGGAAATCCTTATAAATGGTTTAGTTGTGAGATAGAGCAATATTAGATATTATGATTTTTTAGAAGCTCTGTATAAGTTATATTAAAAATTCCTGAACTGGTTTGGGATTTGTTGCATATTCCATACTTTAAGAGATTGTTATTTTTACTAATAATCTTTTTCTGAACTTATTCTCAACATATACTCAACAGCAGTATAGTTGCAGTTTTTTGTTTTTAAATTATATTTTAGATTATTTTTATAAATTTATATCTTCTTTCTGAAATACTTCTTCTTTAATATATTCCATATTAATAAGTCAAAAATTCCATCCCAAGATATGTCCAATTGGTGAATAGAAAGATTTATATTTTCAACTTCATTCATTTTACAAAGAGCATATGCGGCATATTGCATGTTTATTTTCTTTCATCATACCAGACTGAAACGACAAGAAACTGCTCGACGTTTCCGATTACTTCAGTACTTACTAGACAAATGCTCTAAACTTCCAATTAATTACAAAATACTCATATCCATGAAGATGAACAAGAAGACTGGCACAACAAGAAAAGAGAAAATGCAAGTATCCCAACCCACCTATATTTAACCTCCGTATAAAACCACATGTAATAAAATAAAGCAATCAATTTTACATATTCACTTCTTTAATCCATTAACTTCTCTAATTTACAGTCCACAGCAATAAATTTTCACCAGCTCTTAAAGCAGAATTATTATGACAATATCCCTGACAGTCTTGGAAGGGATTGTCATAGTAAAGTAAACAACTATAATAAAGCCTATTTGGACTTATGGAGTTAAGCTATGGGGTTCTACTAAACCATCAAATTCCTCTCGTATCCAATCCTTTCAATCCAAAATCCTTCGTAGAATCGTCAATGCTCCCTATTTTGTTACAAATAAAACCATCCATAATAATGACCTTAATGTTTCTTATGTTTCAGATCTGGCCTAATCCAGATACCTATCCTTCCATAATAAACTTCAGAATCATCCCAATCCTCTCGTTTTTAACCTTGCTTCCTCTTCAATTCCTGATAACTCTCCGAGGCGTCTGAAAAGAAGATGGCCCTGTGATCTCCTAATATAGACATCATTAGAGTGCTACCATTGTGTAGTTACTCAACAAGTGTTTTCATGTCATTATATCCATATGTTCAAATTTACTAAATATATTTCTTTGATACAGTTTTAAATATCATTAAGAAATAATAATAAAAAAAAAAAATTGTGCTTATATTCAAACGTTTCCACTCGTGCTTTATGTTTTAGACATCAAAAACAGATTTGGTTCCGTTTCTCTCTTAAAACAATTGATTTGAGCGAGAGGTTGTGCGAGATGTTATCAAGATGGTTGTTGAATGCAGTAGGCCTTCCTTTATCTCATAGCAGGGAGGAAATAAACCTAATGCTAAATTAGATCAGATGTGCTGTTCAAATAATGTTAAAATTAAGGTGAAGAAGAAAAAGAAATATATAATTAAGAAAGAAATGAAATATAAATAAAATTTTACATCTTCTAGAGTTGAATGGTTGAATGGGGTCTCTAATTATAAACATTTGTGGTTAATGGATTAGTTTTTAATGATTGGATGTACTTGAAATTTGCTGGTTGATGAATGTGGTTTGGTGAATTTTGCTGACTACTTCATCCTGTGTATCTTCCGTGCCGCTTCTCTCTTTCACTGCCTGCCAACATATTTCCTGCCTCTCTCTAGCCATTTCTCTTTTAGAGGGTGCTTATCTAAACATTTTGCGTATATGAGAGATATGAAGAAATGTACAGATCATCAAAGACAATCTTGCACTTTGAATGCATAGATAAGATTCATCAGTACCTGTAGGGATTTTTTGTTTCAACCTTTCGTCGATAGAAGGCGCCTTCATAGTGGCCAATAGATGGCGCTACAGTTCTCTAGCATTTTAAATATAAAATTTAAAGGCTAAACATAAATGAATGTGGCCTTATGTAAATTTTATCAAATATATTCACCACTTTTGCTTTTTTTTTTTTTTTTTTGTTTAATTTTCTGAAACATGTAAACAATTAAAATTTGCTAATACATTTTTGAATGAATATGTTTTTCCTTAAGGGGGCCCTACACGGTCAATCGGAATTGCACTAATGACGTTTCGAATTGTCGTGTAAAGGTACTATTTGGCTGGCGCGGTCGACGACAGCGACCGCTATTCCCCCCTGCCAACCGCTGTTGGCGTACCTATTTCGCTGAAACTGCTCACTGGGGTTGTTATAACCTTCGAACATTTCGCTGTATCTTCGAAGATAAAAAGATGGACATAATATAAGAATAAAAATGAACTTCCTA